TGGTTTTAGAGTCTTCAGACTTCGGGTTGTTGTGTTTTCAGTTCAGACCCCATTTTTACACTCTCACGAGCATCGATTGACACACTTCATACAAGATATCTCAGCTTCGGTCTTTTGATGGGAAATAAGTGGTCATCTTGGTCATTACAATGGTTAGAATCATCTCAACGAGATAAACAAATTGCTATGAGTTTTCCAACACTAAGTCTAATCTACTCTCTAAACATGCATTCCTAGAATTTTCACGTTCAGCCTGTCTTGTAATCTTTAAGTTAAGTACCCCTGTTTCTGATCAGTCTAAGCCCGCACCTAGTGTTGATAAAAGTAAGCGCCCAGTACTTGATATATTTGATTTTGAACCGTCCTCAGGCTTTAAGAGAGCACAGCCGTCACAAGCTGGTGCTAAGCGTAAGAAGATTAAGGTTAGTGCAGAATCAAAATCAACTTCAGTATCTAGTAACTGGCTCACTCACTCTGACACAGGAAGACTTAGTATGTATTCGGAGCAATATGATATTTGTCAAAGTTCTAGTACATGTTATGATGATATTATAGTTAATAGTTATAGCAACATGTGTAAAATTCATCGTTCCAACTCATTTTCATTTCAAGACACTTGCTTATCCAGTCCTTATAGTTATAGTAGTTTTAGTCCAGTTGACAGTAAGTTTATCCAGATAATTAATCCTAGTAATTTACATTGGTTCTGTATATCTAACGCCCTTACTTTCATAAGTGAACCTCATGTTGTAGAAATTTTTGATTCCATGAAAACCTCAGCTAGTTTAGAGAACAGTACTGTTTTAGATAAGTCCATCACTCACTGTATTCTTAAGTTAAGACCTCTCACTACTTTAGTTAGGTATATTGATACGCAGGTGCAGGGTAATTCTTATGATTGTGGTCCTTTGGCTTTAGGTTTCTTGTGGGCATTATCTAAGGGACATCATCCCCGTCAGTACGAGCACTTAAGAGGCCCAATGATCCGCTCTAAGGTAAGGCAAAGCTTCATAGAGAATAGGTTTGTCCCTCCTACCACTAAGCCTCCTAGAATGCTCAATAAAGTAACATTGAGATCTTTTAAACTTGATTTCAGGTCTAAGTCTTTCGTTCATCAGTCTTAGGCGTTAGAATTTTCTGAATTGCAGTACATTGTTGTATATATATAATATATAGTATTCCAAGTTGCATCCTAGATATCATGAAAATATACACCTAAAGATGAATCATGTTTTTCATTCGATAAATTTGCAAATGTCAGCTTTTCGAGTTTGATATATTTCGTTTAGCCTGATAAAAGAACGTTTCTTGACTTCTCAACTGTCAGATTTGAAAAATAACTGTACGATCCCCATTTTCACAAATTTTGTTTACACTCTGAATCTACGATTACGTGCGGTCGACGAATTTTCACCTAACCCACTTTAGGACGCAAAGATAGATAACGTTGAAAGACCATTGCTCTATTGGTTTGTATTTTGAACTACTATCATAATAATTACTGGATGGAGTTAACGGTGAAACTTAAATTATTTATTACTGGCAATGAGAGATATGATGTAATTTTGAATGTGATCTGATTGTTTGTGCGGCCAACTGGTCGTGAAGAAAGAAGACTGCGCCTTCTTGTCCTGCTACAGAGTTCCTTCTTCCCCCTTCTCCTGCTGGATCCAGACAAAGCTTACAACAGTTCCAGAATTTGATAACAACAGTTCCAGACAATGAGTTTCAGATCAACAAAAGCTTAGATATTTACGAATGGGACAAAATAGCTTGTTATAACTAGCTAGGGAGCACCTATCAGCACTTACCTAACATCCCCTAATCCCCTATCTTGGTATCACTACCTCTTCAGAAACCAACCCTAATTCTTCCTCCGGGCTCCCATACCTCCTGAACAAAATGATAAGCAGCTTGTCGAGACTTGGAACTGGATTTGCTCTCACTTGGAACTGGATTTGCTCTCACTTGGAACTGGATTTGCTCTCACTTGGAACTGGATTTGCTCTCACTTGGAACTGGATTTGCTCTCGCGGGATCAGAAATGGATCCTTCCCAGCCTAAATTATTATAACCGAGTTAAATTATTTTGAAGGTATTGAAGTATTGAATGATATTATGATTGATGTTGTGCAAAACTATTACTACCGCTTTATTACTGCCAATTGCTGTTACAATTTGTAGAAACTGATTTATACATTTGTACATATGATATCAAAAAATCAAATCTCAAAAATAACAAAGTAACAATCTGCTCTCTTTAATTATTGAAATCCATCCAAGTAAAAAGTTGTATTACCAGAGAGGTTAAATTTAAATTTCAAACAACCTTGTCTACAGCTTCTTGGAAGAAAATGGAACCGGATTCTAGTGGACGTTCTGAAACTAGTAGGGCTACAAAACTAAGTTGGAACACATCTTGTTTGAATACTGTTGAACCAAATTCAACTCTCTGCAACAACACAAGCAGACAAAATTTCTCAAAATCCGTTTTATCTGCTCAACTGGTTCTAAATTCTTGAATCCAGCCAAGGGTATAATGGGTGTTCTGGGAGTGCTAGGGCCACCAAAATTTGTAGGAACACTATTAGGGTCAATACCAAACGATTCCTACCTGTTTTGGGGCAATCCGACGAGTTTTAGAAAAATGTTCATTTTTGTTCATTTCGTTCATTCCATGACTCAGGGAATCTTGGGCGACTATTTTGACGTCAAAATAGTTAGTAAACACATCCCCCTACACCGTACAATCATCTCCAGCACTCTGCAGCCCCTTTAACAGACTGAAATGACCGTATCAATATCGGATACTCAGGAACCAGCTTTTTGATACGGAAATGGAATCAAGTCTCTAGTGGGCGTTCTGGGAGTGCTAGGGCCACCAAACTTTGTAGGAACACTATAAGGGTCAATACCAAACGATTCCGACCTGTTTTGGGGCAATCCGATGAGTTTTAGAAAAAAATTTCATTTTCGTTCATTCCGTTCATTCCATGACTCAGGGAGCCTCTGGCGATAATTTTGACGTCAAAATAGTTAGTAAACACATCCCCCTACACCGTGAAACCATTTCCAGCACTCTGAAATTACTTTAACAGACTAAAATGACCGTATTAAAATGCCTCAAAAACCGTATCATCTGGTTCCACAATCTCGGATTCATCTTCTGTATTGTAACGCGCGAATTAATAATTTGTAGACAAACTAGCGCGCCGGGAACCATGCGGAATACAGATTGTCTCTTTACGTAATTCAAACTCTGATGACAAAATAAATTGATTGTGACTGTAATAATGGATTAAAAATTACGGCATACAGCAAACCTTGTGTAAAAAAATGTGATAAACAATATGCTTTAAAAAAAATTCGTTAAAAACTTTAAGAACACGATGCCCCGCCCCGTTGTCTAAAGTGACAATTTTGGGACTTTGACGGGCTATAACTTTCGCTAGGAGCAGCCATTTCCCCAAAACTTGGTACCATATGACTCTACTCAATGAGACCTTTCCAATGATGTATAATATGTTGGGTTTTGAGACATAAAATGTTCACCCGCAAGTTGATGCTCTTAGTACATACACTATTATATATAAAAGTGATTTAGCACGTTTGGACATTTGTGGCAAATATTATAATGAATTTTTAATTTTGAATACAGCTTTGACGGTTTACTGGTTTTCATAGTTGCTTTACTTTCATAATTTAAACATGTTTTGTGTTTGCTCTCAGCTCTAGTTCTTACCAAAATAAAATTCAGTTTCATTATTGTAGGTTTACAACCTACCAGGACGCGCGCCGAGTTGGAGTCGTCGACGGTCCAATATATGGAACAGATATTTTACGAGTATCACCCGTTAATTTCATTATCGAGTAAATACTTATATACTTATTATTAAGTGGCTTTAGCAGCTGTTCAATATGTTATATATTATATTATTTGGTGTTTATGTTAACAGGCGATGTTTGTACAATGCAATGCAATTCAATTTTTCAAAATTGTCCATGTCCGCGTTAATACGGCACAAAGAAGCATTACTGGCAATTTTGTCCTTTACCCTCCTACATAATTTGAACATTTTTGTGGCTAGCTCAATGCTCATGTCATTGAACAACATCTGAATTAATGTGTATTTAGTATTAAAAGATTCAGTAAGTTATCTTTTCGTGTACGCTGTATTCACATAGCCATGTGTATACTGCAAGCGAGAGGGCTCTGGTTAGAGCAATACGCTGTACATTGTAGTTAGTAAATGCAAACCAAACCTTTTCGATCCGATCAGCCGCGCGCCGAACCAGTGTTGCACTTTGCACTTTGCACTTGTCCATTGTCATACGTTGTATGACCCGCCGCGCACTCGTGCGCGGCTCCCCTGTATCGTCAGGACGATCATCAATCATAAAGTGAAACGACCGTGGGGATCACGACGTTATACAATGTTGCATTAGGTAAACATTTTTTTCTTCATTTTTGAGTGTAAATTAATTTATTAATTTATCACAAATTATTTTATTATAATAACACCACTTATGTGAAATGGTTATTTTGACTTTAAATATATTTACTAAATATGAATTGATCGTGGGTATAAAATAAAATTTGTTTTATACTAAAATTTGTTTTATTAAATGTGTAATTAGTACAAAGTATGTGCAATATAAATATTAAATAGTCCAACTCGGCCTCGGCACACGTCTTGGTAAGTCATTAAAACTTATAATATACTATGTTTATAAACACTAATAAGCCTGGAGTCCTCAGGTAAGGTTGCCCTACACTGTACTGATATGTTATGTACTGTGCCGCTATTTTCTATTTTTGTAACCATTGCGCGGCGCGAGGTTATTTAATGTTTAATTGGGATAACAGTCCACAACTGATATTGAATCGAGCGCTCAAATTACACATTCACCGTTCAAGTCGCCACCCAATTTCTCGATTTCCGTTTTCTATAATCGATCTGTGGATTTTCTGACTCTCTGACCGTCATTTATTGGTGATGGACTCTCCAGAAATGCTGTCGCAAAAGAATGCTGCATTAACTGCTGCTCTGAGTTCGCCATCGGGCGAAATGAGTCAGGTAAACCGAATCATCCAACGGACATCAATGTTGCTTTCGATTTGCGATCTGCTTTCATTAGCCTGTGAAATGTGATTATTTTCATGGTTTGTTTTTCCATACATTTTTTCTTCACCAAACACATCACAGGTTTTAAGTCAGCTGATAAAGTCAGAGTCTATCCCTGAGTCGCACATTTCTCCAGTTATCCCTCTACCCTCACATTCTCCAATGCTTCTAGACCAGCAAACCCTCCCTGTTACTCCTACACCTACCAGTGTTATGTCACCTGAAACTTTCTTGGCATTTTCTCAAGCATACAGTCTCTTCAATACTCCGTCTCCAAGTAACAAGTTTTAAACATTTCACCAGTTTCTTTGTAGCTTTTAACCCCGTTAGTACTATGCTAATCTTGCGAAGAAGACCAACTGTAACTTGTTATTTTAATAACATAACTTTCAGAAGAAGATGGTTTCAGTCAAGCTGGCACACCAGCAACAACATCTGTAAAACCTGTCATTGACCTTGATCTCAGCTCGCCACAAGACACCGTAATCGACTCTCCCATCGTACTCAAACAAGTTCGTAAATATCAGAGTTTTACAATGTGCGACACCCATCATTTCAAAGAAAGTGATGCATTTGATAAGATGCTTAGTACTAATTTATAATGCATTTCCAATTTTCATTGCCTTGCCTTGGAATTGAAAACATAGGAAAATGTTTGGGCGACATGCATATGGTCAAGTTCGGAGACAACCTGTACATTTTTTACTTTTTTAGAAGTGTGTGGTGGAGCCAGCTCAACACAGAATGAAACTCCCTGATTATAAGGCTGACAAGACATTTTTCAGGACTTTCTCTGAGTAAAAAAAAAATTAAAAGGTTGAACGGTTGAGCAGATACAGGTGGTATTAAACAAACCCTTAAAAGGTGGAGATTAAAGGTGGAGACTGGCTCTGGTTGAAGAAACTTTTGATTAAGGTGGAAAAGGTTATTGGTAACACAAACTACATCAAATTTGCAATCTGATGGCTTTATCAATATTTTATTTAAGTGCTCAACCGAGGTGGAGAAATTAAATGCACTTTTCAAAGCTGCTCAACCGGGGGTGGAGAAAGGTTTAGAGAGTTCTAGGTTAGCTAGAAAGTTGCGTCTCGGCCTTTTCTACTTCCCGTTAAATTTTGTTTTTTCCATTGACGCTCAACAGGGTGGAGATCTTTCATTAAGAAACAGTAAAAAGCCTACATTAAACATGCCTAAATTCATTGGTTTTATCACTAATTCTAATCTGCTCTGTTAACTGCTACTGTAGGGGATCATAAAACTGTTATCCCTTCTGTCTTAAAGCAAAGTGTTCTAGCAAATGAAAAAACTATCAAAGTTGTGAAAAGGTGCTCAACAAGGTGGAGAAATTGTTGATTAAACATTAAAACATTAAAAAATGCATTAAAACTGGCCCCACCGGGTTGAGTTGAGCTTTGGCAGTTGATTTCTGGAAGAAATAACATTGGGTGACCCTTTAGCATGTATACAACTCATCAAACTAGCCATCAACCACTCAACCGCGGTGGAGAACCTTGACTTCTGAGGTCAAATTTACGCCAAAATTTGCCAAATTTGAGTCTCCACCTATGTTGAGTGTACTTTTCAGCAAGGATGCCTTGTAATATGAGTTGGTAGATGATTTAGAATCATTGGTATTGCAAATGGACTGCCACAGTCACTCTACAGCTCCTAAACTACAGAATAACAGATTTTGAACTGCATGTTATGCTGTCTCCACCTCGGTTGAGCCGATTCTGAGGATCCTATTCTATGAAATATGATTGGTATAACCCATAATATTAAATATTAAGACTTTGGAGCAATTAAAAAGCATGAGAGGGTTAGTTCTAGTCACTTATATTAGCTCATGTAGTCAGTGAGCTGCTCCACCTGTGTTGAGCAGACAAACCTGCTCAACCGGCACTTTTTGAGTACCCACCTGTCTTACGTAACTTTAAATTGTGAAATTTGGAGTAAATATTTTTTTCATAAGTGATTTACAGCTCCTTTATTTTTGTAATTTTCAGGTGGCCACTGTCTCCACCAAGGTTGAGTTATTTAAATTTTGAACCCAGATATCATTATAGAAAGGTTAGGAGTATAATATCTGAAGAGCCTGTACCCCTTGGACTGTCAGAGGAATTATAATTAATTTTACCGTTTATGGCAGTGAAATGAGTGTAATTAGTGACTGATTTTATGTACAAGTTGTCTCCGAACTTGACCATATGCACATCCATAGATTACAGCAATAAGGTATTTTGTGTAATAACTTCTACTGTATGTTTGCTTAAACATGTTATAACAATAATTTCTCTCACACAGGAAAAGATTGAGCCTCGTAAGAGTGATTGTTCGGTAGCCAGTTTACTTGATAGAGATCTCACCGACTGTAACCGCCAGCCTACCATCCCCTCAAGTTTCACCGAATTCGAAACTTACACTCAACAAAAATCTCAAGTTGTAACCCAAATCTCAGCTGCAGCGGATAGTCCAGTGTTTTCTGAATCTTTCTTGACTGACGGCAAAACTGAGAGCAAACCTTCAGATAGCAAGTCAGACAAATCAGAACAGAGGCCGAATTCTGGCATTAGAACTCCTCCAATGGAATCACTTTCAGATCAGGCAGAGAAACTTATAAAAACTCCTATCTATGATCTATCCCGCCCCATTACAGGCCAATGTTTGCGACAACAAAACAACACAAATATCTCTGAGAAATTGCGTGACCTGCGAATATCCTGTCAGGTCCCCATGGAAATACCGTGTAAGACTTCAACTCAGCAGGGTGATTTCACACTTCTTGGCATGGAGTTCGCTACTGTCCCCCAAGGACTTTTAAGCGGTTCAAGAGAGCGCCATAAAGTTACCTCAGATGTAGGCTCTAGTTCTAACTCTCCTCAAATTACCCAAAAAGGAGATCGGAATGAGAATAATTTCAAATTTAACAAAAGTAACGAGAATTTCGGGAATCCGTCTGACGGTTTTGGTGCTTCTCAACTGGAAATTCCCTTTTCTCAGCTTGATGGTAGATATGACAGTGGAAAGTTTCCCAGTCAACCAGATTCCAACGGGAGCCAAGAAAACAATTCTTATCACAGATTGGAAAGCCCTTCTAATCAGTCTCTCAGAGCCAGAGGTTACCGTGCCAAAACTAAGATATCTGTAAGTGCAAGTGGTCCACTGTTTTTTTTGTTATTTTAGTCAATATTCATACTTGTTATTGTATTTATTATCCTTTATTCAAATGGAATAAGTTTCCCTCGGCGAGACTCTTTACTTATTTGTTTAAATCTTTTTTTTTCAGAAAAACATAGTTCAGCGGGCAGCAGTAATGAACGAAATTTGTACTACTTTTAAATTGTGTCAGAAGAATGTCAGGGTTTGCAGATCTATGACTGGTAATTAACTATAAATGTTGTGATATGATATACAATGTACATATTCAAAGATTTGTGATCATATTGACTTTTATTATCATTTCCAATTTCGGTATGATCGATAAACAGCCAATTTACATTAGATCGGCTCAAAGCTTACATCTTTACCCACTCTTTCTCACCATTAAAGTTTCATCCTATCGCTTTTAAAGAAATAATTTTACAGTGTATCGTAAGATGACAGACTCTAGGATGGTAATCAGAGGTAAGCTGATGGAGTGTAGTCAACTGATGGGTTCTATCAAGATACAGAACCGTAAAGATCATGATAGAGCACAAGCTGACTGTAAGATTATTTTACTTTTGTTATTTTTATTAAAAATTAGCTTTAATCTTAAGAGTTAAGATACAGCAACCAAAATTCGATAAAATCACTTACAAATGAACAAATATCAGGTCCTTCAAATGCAAAAATTATTTGAATCATTTACTTGTATTAACTGTAAATCAATACCCGATTTATTGGAAGTTTTGATTCACCATGAATATTCATTATTATTGGTAAATTAAATTGTAAAATATCCAAGTCACGTGATCACAGGCAAAGTAACACCGAAGCTGTACCCGCGACTGATGTCAGAACTGGAAAAAGAGCTAAACTCCCTGACTAAAGTTTACATGCAGTACAGAGATATAGTACTGAATCTCCGGGAACTCTACACCGAGAACAAACCTAACTTATCAGAGAACAAACCTAACTTATCAGAGACCAAACCTAATGTGAAGGAGGTAGACCTTACAGATATTAGGGGTACTGTGTTGACTAAGCGGAAGCAGAGTAGAGGGAGAACGAAGAAGGAATCAACAGAAAAGAATAAACCTTACAGAAGAGAAGCGCTGTGAGTAACCAATGCTTTTCTTCCAATTTCCATGTCATCCCTGATAGTTATTTTATTTGTTTGTCTAAATGCTGCTGTAGTCTTGTTCTTGATGTTATGGTCAGTTTAAAGTACATCTTAGTCAACTGTAAATGACGGAGATATTAGAGTGGCCGCCCAATTTAACAATTTGGGTACCTTGCATTGTCCTTATATCAAAAATGTTTGAAATTGCGGTCCAAACTTATTCACTATTTCAAATTTTTTACATACGTTTCACTATCAGATGCATTGTACAAGGTGAAGTTGTCTCCGAGAAACCCAGGAAATCAAGGAAATCAAGGAAGACTGCGGAGAAAGCAAAGCAACTGTCTCCGTCTAGGACAACTCAACTCGTCCAGGAAGCTATACCTCCAATCACTCCGGACACAAGTCATCAGCAGAATCAGTCTAGAAGGTTCAAACCCATTCAACCGAAACCAGAAATCCAATATCAAACGATAATGGTGAACGTCAAGTCGCCGAAAAAGTTGGCTGACGTTCTTAAATCTACTGAGAGTAGCCCGAAAAGAAGTCCTAGAAGTCCCAGAATTCGAACAGAGGAACAGAGGGAATCTCAAGTTGTTATCGAGAATTTCTTCAGATTACAAAAGATCAAGCTTGAGAAAGGAGAGTGTACTTTATCCCAGCCTATATTGCAGACCAAGGTATTACCTGAAATTTATAATTTTCGATAATAAAAATGTATATCTAAGCTGCATGATTGTTCCTTTTACAGGACTGACATAATTGATTTGTATGCTGATTGAAAAAATACAAATAATCATTGTTTCAGTTGTCTGGTGACTCACCTACCCTTCCTGCAAGAGTTCGAGAACTCCGAGGTTCACCAAAACAACCAAGACGGCGGCGCTCCAAATCTTCTCCAACATCTCCCAAATCACCTGCGTCATCCTCCCAATCACCTCTTTCGTCACCAGGTTCAACACCTCCATCACTGAGAACCCCACCTCCCTCAAACTCCAGTGCTCCTACCCAACTTGACCCCATGTTCAGGACCCCACCTCCCTCAAACTCCAGTGCTCCTACCCAACTTGACCCCATGTTCAGGACCCCACCTCCCTCAAACTCCAGTGCTCCTACCCAACTTGACCCCATGTTCAGGACCCCGGAGAGAACGATCAGGGATGTGGGGACCTGTACACCACCTCGATCTTCTCTTATCAATTCTGCTACCATGTTACCCTGTTACCCTTACCCTTCTCCTCTTGTTAAGGTTAGTCCTTTATTCCTTGTTTAATGTACTTTGTTTTTAGGGAAAATTAAGAGGAATTACAGGTCTGTTCACAAAATATGTTCACCTTCAGAAGTATTATAGGGAAGTAGAGAATTAATGTAACTATGTATTTCAGGAGATAAAGATAAGAAATGTGAAGCGCAAGACTTCAGAGCAGATAGTGACACGTGTCCAGGCACACAAAGCTCTGGATAATCTGGAAACTATCCATCTTTCCCCTAATATCAGGTATCTGCCTTATCTTATCCCAGTCTTATCATACGTGATTATCTTCTTATCTCGAGATTGATAAATGTGTTCTTTGCTTTCAGTAGACTATATTATCTTAGTTCTTGCAGTGCACATTATATAGAGTAGCTTCTTAAAATTGTTCTATTCTCTTCGAATTTCCTTCATGGCAATCAATCACTTTTTGAATGATATTATATTCAGAAATATGAAGACTGACCAGTCGCCACCACACGATACATTGACAAACTACGTAGCTAAGAAGGATCTGTTACAAAACAGTGATAAGATAACAGTAGTGGGACAGTGTAGTCCTGTACCTGTTATTCCCCTTCCATCTGAGGTATTATTATTTCAAAATTAATACTGAATAGTGATTATACCCTCAGATGATAAAACATGCTACAAGTAAATGTTCTTCCGGACAAACATTTCAATTTTGATGATTTTCAATTTTGCGAAGCCTGATATCCAAGATATTGACTTCAACTACATCAATTGGGTCTTGTCATCTATAGTTAACTGTTTCATTGTTAACTTGAGATAAATTCAGTCAAAACTGTACAATTTCGGTCCTGGAAATTTCATTATGACAATATGATTTTGCAATTTTATTCGGGATTTTGACTCCCAGTACCTCAATCTGGTTTCATACCATCATCAATTAACTGACTAATTGGTTTCTGGGCAAAAAGTTCATCCAAACTGTCAAGTTTGTGTTCAAAAAAATTCATATTTGAAAATGGGACAGGATTTTGAAAATACAACTTTTTGTTTTGTTAAGCTTTCTGCTGTGGGCTTCCTCCGACCGAAATCAAAGTTCCAGCACCTTAATCGTGTCATATGGCATCTATAGTTGACTTACTAATTGGTTGCGGGTGAAAAAAATCAGTCAAAACTGTAAAATTTCAGTCCTGGAAATTTCATCTTCGAAAACAGAAAATGGGACAGAGATTGGGACAATATGATTTTGCAATTTTATTCGGGATTTTGACTCCCAGTACCTCAATCTGGTTTCTTACCATCATCAATTAACTGACTAATTGGTTTCTGGACAAAAAGTTCATCCAAACTGTCAAGTTTGTGTTCAAAAAATTTCATATTTGAAAATGGGACAGGATTTTGAAAATACAACTTTTCGTTTTGTTAAGCTTTCTGCTGTGGGCTTCCTCCGACCGAAATCAAAGTTCCAGCACCTCAATCGTGTCATATGGCATCTATAGTTGACTTACTAATTGGTTGCAGGTGAAAAAATCAGTCAAAACTGTAAAATTTCAGTCCTGGAAATTTCATCTTCGAAAACTGAAAATGGGACAGAGATTGGGACAATATGATTTTGCAATTTTATTCGGGATTTTGACTCCCAGTACCTCAATCTGGTTTCATACCATCATCAATAGATGTGGATACTGGTGGGGAGGTGAAACACATTTGTTTACTTTAATAGTAAGCACATGTTCAGCGGGTTGAGGAGGTGAAACACATTTGTTTACATTTTTAGGGTAAGCACATGTTCAGCGGGTTGAAGAGATGATACACATTTTGTATTATGGAAGGCTTGTAACACTTGTAACGCTTTCTTGTTACCCCCCTTTGAAGGCCCCGAATTATTTTCTGAACGAAAGCTCAAAAATAACCGAGAAATCGACCTTCTTATTAACTCATTTTGATGACTGTTTCTGACCTAAAATTGCACGAAAAATCGATTTAGCTAGGTTTCAGAACCTATAAACACTTCCTTATCCCTCAAAATTGATGTTTTATAGTTGATACGAGCAACAAGCAACATATGTTTTGATCCTTCGGTTCTACTCATGACCTAGGCAGTTAAGCTGAACCCGACAGATCGAGGCAATCCTCACCTTAACTGATCAAACTGGTACTAACACAATTTTCAGATATAAATGTTCTTTGCGATACGTTTATTGCAGCTTTGCAACTTGAGTGAAGACCAGAGTACGAAAACACACAGCAGTCACTTTTGGTGACTGTTCCTCACGAACATTCTGATCCTGTAACAATTTAGTATCTTAGTATAGGGTAGCTTAGAAGTGAAACCCACTTATTGTAGTACCAACTATGGTCATACGAGACTAAGGAATAATATACATAAATAAGTTACATAATAAATTACCATATATAACATACATATGAACAGGAAGATCGTCTCCTTAACAAATCGAACAGGTACTATCACAATTTCCAGAGCAGGTACTATCACAATTTCCAGAGCGTAATTTTCACAATTTCCAGAGCATAACAAAGTCAAAAGAAACACAACGAAGATAGGTTACCAACACCACAATATAAAAATTATACTAACAACTGAATTAAATTTATTCTGACGACGGGCAGCCCTGATGTGCTCCGTCATCCTCAACGAGCGACCACTTGTAATAGAGGTGTTCTGTCATGTGACACCGATCCGTCCGGTATCGTGTGTTTACTTTCCTTATCTTTATTTGACCCTCTGTTCACATTGTTATCTCTACCACATCTCGGCTCGGCAAGGTCCACGTGCAATATCTGCACCGCGGTAATCACGCCATGAAATGGTGTGATTGTTGTACTTATATAACCGTGCCCATTGCCCACGTACAATACAAACTGTTGGGGGGGGGGGGGGGGGATTGTAGGAACTTATCGTCCAGTCATGAACAGAATATTAACATAATTTTTTAGTTATTTAAGCAGACCTGGTCATTTAAAAAAAAATCACTGTCCACTTCCCTCAAAAAAACAGGGTTCAAATTAACAAGTTGGGTACACACGAATGCGATGTCGCTCAGATAAGGCAACATCTTCGCCACAACTTTGTTTTCCAAAATCTTGTACCGCTTCAGATAGCCAATTGAGCGTTCCACGTGGATGCGGGCGATGCTGACTTTTCTGCTGGCTGCTACTTCTTCCGGCGTGAACTGAGTCTTGCCCCACATCCCCGCTGGGATGTTTAGGGTAACTCCTGAAATTTAATTCGCTTTTTATGCCGCTCATTCTTAACTAACCGGACGTTGATTCATCACTCTACACTCAACTGTTACGTGACGTTGAAACCTTAACGAGAAATTAGAAACCACAGGTCATAGCACGTTATCTCGCCAGAGGAGCATCATTTGGGTGATTCGCAATCAGCATACAAAAATATAAATACTACGATTTAAGTTGGTTTCAACTGTTAGTGTTATAGGGGCCCGTTCAGAAAAATCTCATATTTCGAGTGTAGCACGGTTGGAACTTACCTTCGGACAAAATGTCGTGAATGAGGAACCCCTTGTCAGCCATCACGTTGTCACCAACAGTCAGCTTCTGCAGTATGGCACTATCCACTACAATTTCCTTATCGGTTGTGCCACCAGGGTAGCAGCGGCTGACATACGTGATTGGAATTGCGCACTGGGCGCAATTCCGATCAGTAACTTGGCTGTGTGCGTAGCTGGAGATGGAACAGAACGATTATGCAAGGGAAATTGTATGAGGTACGGAAGCAGAAGATCTGTAATTTACGTTGCAGGTTCAGCATTATTGAAAGGTATGATCGACTGAACTTACACTTATAATGGCTGTAACATCTGGCGCCCGACTCAATGTTGGACGGAGCTTCAATTGGGACCTGTGGATTGTAGGAATTTTCAATTGCTACAGCTGCAATAACAAAATGAAATTTTGAACATCACAATTCGCACACCGCCGTAATTGTACTGCTGTAGAGAACACCAATTCACTGGTCACGTTCAAAGCGAAATATTGCGTCAACTTATCTGCTGTGACTTTCATAATTTTGTCTGAGCTCTAAAGTTGTAGCTGCTCATTCGGTTCTGGTAATGGACTCAAATCATACCTCGGTACAGTCAATCACAATCCTAGTGTTGGGGTGTCCTAAATTCTGTTTTTAAACACTTACTGTCAAAGTTAAGCAAAGCAGCACTCATGGATATATGCATTATTCCTTTGCTTCCAGTTGGTGTAAACTTAAAGCACAGTTCATCATTTGGATCTCACTCAGTTCACAATCGCGACCTCATATTAGAGTAAATGTTTTTAATAATACGCAATTGGACAACTAAACCGAAACATGCTATAACTAAACAATGTTATTGTTCCGTTCCTGATTGAACAGAATTATCATCACAGTCAGTTGGAGGAGCGACCAACACACTATCAAGATCGGTTGTTTATCTTAGTCTAACCCCCCCCCCCCCCAACAGTTTGTATTGTACCTTTGTACGTGGGCAATAGGCACGGTTATATAAGTACAACAATCACACTATTTCAAGTTCATGACGTAATCATGGCGTGTTTACTGCGGTGCAGATATTGCACGCGCCACGCGGACCTTGCCGAGCCAAGATGTGGTAGAGATAACAATGTGAACAGAGGGTCAAATAAAGATAAGGAAAGTAAACACACGATATCGATCTGCTGACTCGTCCTGTTTGTGATTGGACGGATCGGTGTCACATGACATAACACCTCTATTACAAGTGGTCGCTCGTTGAGGATGACGGAGCACATCAGGGCTGCCCGTCGACAGAATAAATTTAATTCAGTTGTTAGTATAATTGTTATATTGTGGTGTTGGTAACCTACCTTCGTTGTGTTTCTTTTGAGTTTGTTATCATGCTGTGCTCTGGAAATTGTGATAGTACCTGTCCGATTTGTTAAGGAGACGATCTCCCTAGCTGTTCATATGTTGGAGGATCAGAATGTTCGTGAGGAACAGTCACCAAAAGTGAGTTGCTTACCTGGTGTGTGTTTTCGTACTCTGGTCATCACTCAAGTTGCAAAGCTGCAATAAACGTATCGCAAAGAACATTTATATCTGAAAATTGTGTTAGTACCAGTTTGATCAGTTAAGGTGAGGATTGCCTCGATCTGTCGGGTTCAGCTTAACTGCCTAGGTCATGAGTAGAACCGAAGGATCAAAACATATGTTGCTTGTTGCTCTTATCAACTATAAAACATCAATTTTGATGGATAAGGAAGTGTTTATAGGTTCTGAAACCTAGCTAAATCGATTTTTCGTGCAATTTTAGGTCAGAAACAGTCATCAAAATGAGTTAATAAGAAGGTCGATTTCTCGGTTATTTTTGAGCTTTCGTTCAGAAAATAATTCGGGGCCTTCAAAGGGGGGTAACAAGAAAGCGTTACAAGTGTTACAAGCCTTCTATAATACAAAATGTGTATCATCTCTTCAACCCGCTGAACATGTGCTTACCCTAAAAATGTAAACAAATGTGTTTCACCTCCTCAACCCGCTGAACATGTGCTTACTATTAAAGTAAACAAATGTGTTTCACCTCCCCACCAGTATCCACATCTATTAACTGACTAATTGGTTTCTGGGCAAAAAGTTCATCCAAACTGTCAAATTTGTGTTCAAAAAATTTCATATTTGAAAATGGGACAGGATTTTGAAAATACAACTTTTCGTTTTGTTAAGCTTTCTGCTGTGGGCTTCCTCCGACCGAAATCAAAGTTCCAGCACCTTAATCGTGTCATATGGCATCTATAGTTGACTTACTAATTGGTTGCGGGTGAAAAAATCAGTCAAAACTGTAAAATTTCAGTCCTGGAAATTTCATCTTCGAAAACTGAAAATGGGACAGAGATTGGGACAATATGATTTTGCAATTTTATTCGGGATTTTGACTCCCAGTACCTCAATCTGGTTTCTTACCATCATCAATTAACTGACTAATTGGTTTCTGGACAAAAAGGTCATCCAAACTGTCAAGTTTGTGTTCAAAAAATTTCATATTTGAAAATGGGACAGGATTTTGAAAATACAACTTTTCGTTTTGTTAAGCTTTCTGCTGTGGGCTTCCTCCGACCGAAATCAAAGTTCCAGCACCTTAATCGTGTCATATGGCATCTATAGTTGACTTACTAATTGGTTGCAGGTGAAAAAATTAGTCAAAACTGTAAAATTTCGGTCCTGGAAATTTCATCTTCAAAAACTGAAAATGGGACAGAGATTGGGACAATATGATTTTGCAATTTTATTCGGGATTTTGACTCCCAGTACCTCAATTTGGTTTCATACCATCATCAATTAACTGACTAATTGGTTTCTGGGCAAAAAGTTCATCCAAACTGTCAAGTTTGTGTTCAAAAGATTTCATATTTGAAAATGGGACAGGATTTTGAAAATACAACTTTTTGTTTTGTTAAGCTTTCTGCTGTGGGCTTCATCCGACCGAAATCGAAGTTCCAGCACCTCAATCGTGTCATATGGCATCTATAGTTGACTTACTAATTGGTTGCGGGTGAAAAAATCAGTCAAAACTGTAAAATTTCGGTCCTGGAAATTTCATCTTCAAAAACCGAAAATGGGACAGAGATTGGGACAATATGATTTTGCAATTTTATTCGGGATTTTGACTCCCAATACCTCAATCTGGTTTCATACCATCATCAATTAACTGACTAATTGGTTTCTGGGCAAAAAGTTCAACCAATCTGTCAAATTTGTGTTCAAAAAATTTCATATTTGAAAATGGGACAGGATTTTGAAAATACAATTTTTCGTTTTGTTAAGCTTTCTGCTGTGGGCTTCCTCCGACCGAAATCGAAGTTCCAGCACCTCAATCGTGTCATATGGCATCTATAGTTGACTTACTAATTGGTTGCGGGTGAAAAAATCAGTCAAAACTGTAAAATTTCAGTCCTGGAAATTTCATCTTCGAAAACTGAAAATGGGACAGAGATTGGGACAATATGATTTTGCAATTTTATTCGGGATTTTGACTCCCAGTACCTCAATCTGGTTTCTTACCATCATCAATTAACTGACTAATTGGTTTCTGGACAAAAAGGTCATCCAAACTGTCAAGTTTGTGTTCAAAAAATTTCATATTTGAAAATGGGACAGGATTTTGAAAATACAACTTTTCGTTTTGTTAAGCTTTCTGCTGTGGGCTTCCTCCGACCGAAATCAAAGTTCCAGCACCTTAATCGTGTCATATGGCATCTATAGTTGACTTACTAATTGGTTGCAGGTGAAAAAATTAGTCAAAACTGTAAAATTTCGGTCCTGGAAATTTCATCTTCAAAAACTGAAAATGGGACAGAGATTAGGACAATATGATTTTGCAATTTTATTCGGGATTTTGACTCCCAGTACCTCAATTTGGTTTCATACCATCATCAATTAACTGACTAATTGGTTTCTTGGCAAAAAGTTCATCCAAACTGTCAAGTTTGTGTTCAAAAGATTTCATATTTGAAAATGGGACAGGATTTTGAAAATACAACTTTTTGTTTTGTTAAGCTTTCTGCTGTGGGCTTCATCCGACCGAAATCGAAGTTCCAGCACCTCAATCGTGTCATATGGCATGATCTATAGTTGACTTACTAATTGGTTGCGGGTTAAAAAATCAGTCAAAACTGTAAAATTTCGGTCCTGGAAATTTCATCTTCAAAAACCGAAAATGGGACAGAGATTGGGACAATATGATTTTGCAATTTTATTCGGGATTTTGACTCCCAATACCTCAATCTGGTTTCATACCATCATCAATTAACTGACTAATTGGTTTCTGGGCAAAAAGTTCAACCAATCTGTCAAATTTGTGTTCAAAAAATTTCATATTTGAAAATGGGACAGGATTTTGAAAATACAATTTTTCGTTTTGTTAAGCTTTCTGCTGTGGGCTTCCTCCGACCGAAATCGAAGTTCCAGCACCTCAATCGTGTCATATGGCATCTATAGTTGACTTACTAATTGGTTGCGGGTGAAAAAATCAGTCAAAACTGTAAAATTTCGGTCCTGGAAATTTCATCTTCAAAAACCGAAAATGGGACAGAGATTGGGACAATATGATTTTGCAATTTTATTCGGGATTTTGACTCCCAATACCTCAATCTGGTTTCATACCATCATCAATTAACTGACTAATTGGTTTCTGGGCAAAAAGTTCAACCAATCTGTCAAATTTGTGTTCAAAAAATTTCATATTTGAAAATGGGACAGGATTTTGAAAATACAATTTTTCGTTTTGTTAAGCTTTCTGCTGTGGGCTTCCTCCGACCGAAATCAAAGTTCCAGCAAGTTCTGATTCTTGAAAACTTATCCTGAGATGGTTTGTTGATCCGAAAATTGCTGCACTCCATCGATTGTCATCAGACTTTTTTCGCCGACTAATAAAATTGAATCACAAATTGCAACGACCTTATTATTATCTTTTTCGTTAATCTGATAAGTTAAAAGATTTTTATTTACAAATCCGAATATTAACACTGTTGGCAGAATGTTGTTACCTAATATTTATTATTGTATTTTCACTTTTAGTTGTTGTCCGTCTCCAAAAACATCACGAATTTGAAACAAATGTATCTCACACGGTTTAGCAGATACTGCTGAATTCTGGATTGTTTATGAAGAGTGATATCTGAGAAGATTGTTTCGTACATCTCATATGTTATTCTCAGTCACCTTCCATTAGAGTATGTCTCAATCATCTGACACTAGAATATAATCTTATACCTCTCAAATGTGATCCTCAGCCATCCAACAAACAGCGTGGACACGATCACCCAGAACACGAATACCCTCTTATCTGTTGTAGCTATAATCTTACCGTCTATACTCCTGATGAAGATCCTCTGCCGTCTCTTACTGTGATGTTTACGGAGCAGGGTACTGAAGATGGAGTAGAGGAGGATCTTCAGAAACACACCCCACGCCTCCTCTATCTCCTCTGTGAACAGGTGTCCCAGGTACTCCTTGATTAGATCCATTATCACTGCTTCCATTGGCAGAATGTAGCAGAGTTTCAGCCCGTAATTCCTGTGCCGTTCACCCAGCTTTATCAAGTCAGGTTTAATCTCGTGGAATTTGTCGCACTTGGATACAGCCCAGCAGATAGCGTTCACCACTTTCAGACTGTGTCTCTTCATGTCCAGCTCGTAGTTGGGGTTGTACATTCCACTGCCCTTGGCAAAGGTGAACAGGTCGATAGAGTCCGGGGCTTCCTTCATGAGTCTGGAGAAGAGGAGCTGGCTGTTCATCATGAAGTCGTCCCCCATCATCTCCCACGACGACTTTATCAGCCGGATCTGTTGTCTGGTTAGTTGGGAGTATCTGATTTTCAGTGTGTCCGTTGAAAGGTAGGTGTCGATTATGTCTGACTTGTAGCCGATGTGTATTGACATATTACTGGGACCTTGTGGCTGTGTGCGTGGGGTTGTTAATGCTTAAATACCAAGATTTTGTCTTAACTACGCACAGAGTACTGCTTAGAGAACTACTTCATAGTTTCGTTGGTAAAATATTCATGTATTTCATAATTTGGGAGATTTATAAGGTTCGTGAACATCCTGTGATCTTCAAAATATAATTCGTGCAAACTTTAAAAAGGGCAAACAATAAATCGGTCGAAAATCCCATCGTTCAGGCCTTAAAGTCAGAAATAGCAAAAAAGAGAAACAATTTATCGTGATACGATCATATTACTAATCATACCACCACTGTCGAACGTTTTTATATATATGTGCCGTTTCTTCGCCATCCAACTGCGAAATATGTTTTGACACCTATATGATAATTGTATTCAGGTTGCGATACGTACCGTTGCTCAATTATAATACCTGGCCACCAGTACTACTGATGATCTGAGAGATTAATTTTGAGATTCTGATATTAACAAAAGTATGTTTCTTAGAATGAATTTCTTCTACTTATCAGATCAAGTGTCTGATAATTGAGTCCTTAGTCCACAGAAAGGTTCTACTGAACTTATCTAAAGTGCGATAATCATTTCAAAATAGATCATCTCGAAATAGATTAGTTAAAGACGTTAATTGTGATTGCTTTAGGCTAAAAACCTGATAAATAGGGTCCTTTAAAACTTTAGAGTTTAGCCGTGATATGATCATATCACTTATTATAAAGACTTCAACTTGACGCTTACCAAACAATATGTGCTTCATTGCATTAATTTCAGTAAATTTATGAAGCATAATATATAATATAACAATTTATAATATTTTGCAGGAAAATGCGTCCGTGGACAATATTGTCAGGTTTTTGATACAGCAGAATAAGATTGGTACTGGATACAATGCTATTTACACAGTCTTAGACAACGTATGTACCACAAACAGTATGTAATTGATTCATCATAATTACTATTACCTACTCCTTGTCTATCTACAAATATTTAAAAAACGAGGTTCTCCAATTAATGTACCCAAGCAGCTCCGGCATTACCAGCTGCAGCGGAATTAAATGTTCATGTTTTGCAGGAGAGGATCTACGGATCACTTGATGCGAATGGGCTAACTGTCAGCTGTAATGCGATCTACAAGTCGTGTGGTCAATGGATCAGATCTCTCCATAAGTTGCCCTGTTCCAGTTTAGATTCACTACGAATGGTGAGACTCTTCATATTATGTTATCTTTATCAGAGGAAACTGAGAACCCTGTCAAGTTTTGTGTTATCATTATTTGGAATTTTGCTATATTTCGATTATCAACTGTTATCAACCATGCCAATCTAAAGCCTAGAACTAAGTATATCGGCAGGTTTTCGAGACGAGAAGCAACAAGACGCTATATTCGGCCATTGAGGAGTGTTGGAAGGCGGAGCGCGCGGTAAAATCTACGCGTGAAAAGTCTGAAACAGAAGGGGCTCACCTTGACAGAAACGAAGACCTGTATGTATATCTCTCATTTTAGCAAACCATACATTTAATTTAGTTCAGCCGGCATTGGGCCAACTTTGATATTGGTGACACTACGGGATCCTTCAAGTTTTACTTAGGGCCAGTTTATTATTATTGTATGTCCATTGGTCTTAAGTTAGTCATTATTGAATAAGTTTTTTAATAGCCTTAATATTGACTCATTCAATTATCCATTATCCATATCATTTGATCCTCAGAAACACTGTTAATAGCGGATTTGAAGTTCACCGAGACGGATTAGAGTTCTTTGACATCATCTCGATTTTGGAGCAGAACGTGGAGATGAGAATGGTGGAGCTTGAAGAGTATATTCCATGTGCTGAACTACAGTTGCCGTCCCATTTCTGGCTTGTAGAGTCGGCCGGAGTGCCCGCTTCAATTTTAGCGGATATCGATGATTGGCCTGACCCCTGAGTTCATCAGTTTACTATGCTATAAGTATGCTATAACTTATTGGGAGAATAGTTTAACATTTTTAGATACACATTTTAAGCCACTCCATTATTGATTTCATTTTCCGATTTTACTGCGGTTAGATACTGGAAGAGCCGCATCGGATGTTTAGTGTTTCTTTTTTATTTGTTTGACAATTGTTCGATAACATGTTATTATTTAATACCATTATTAAGTTACTTTTTGGTAAAACTTTGTTCTCCCAGGCCATGTGCCCCCTCACGTCACGTTTAAAAGATTAGGGATTCAAGGTTTAGGCCGGCCTCTAAATTCTGAACCAGCCAATACATGGTTTTGACACATGCTCGGGTCGGTTTAAAGAGAGTAGGGATTGTTGGTCAGAGATATAAACATTACGCGTTAGTTTTGGTCACGTGACAATGAGTAATTCTTCATCCTACAGAGGCCGTAGCACGAGTTTCTAATATACGACGCGACGGCAATATATTGGTGCGTGCTCTGGAAATTTGTGCTCTGGATATCGCAACCGCTTTCGCGCTCTACAATGAGCGGGGGATTCTAGCGTAGTTTGCCAGTTTTGATGCCAGCCAACCAGTATTGGATGTGTAATGTAGAATCATATAAGTCAGTTGAGATTTATTAAAACAAAATCAAAGGGTATTACATTTACACATATATCTGCATTGAAGAAAGCTGAAAACAGAAAAAAGAAAGAAAAACATAACTGACATCCAGCCGTCAGAAACCATGGCATGGTATTTTTTTCATAACGCCAACAATTTTCGGAACTATCCAAGAAGCCCGATCAGCTCTAACATATAACGGTGGACTGCCGCCCTAACCCAAACCCTAAACCCGCCTCAGATCCTCGTACCTTAATTCAACCGTACTTTATGTTCGGTGGTGTGTCAGGCTTCTTGGATAAGGCTTCTTGTATAATGCCCAATTTTAACTTCCTATTCCCAAACATTTTAATTGATCCATCATATATTGGATATTTAAACGTTTAAAATACCAACACAGCAATCATAATTAAGAACTTTAGCTACAAACAAACTTAAAATGCTCGGGCCAATTTGACGTGTCAAGAATATATGCAAATTGTATAGTCCAATAATGGCCTTCACAGTTCACATTAGAAGTCCTCCTACAAACTCTATTCCTCCCTATCAGGAACTGATTTCTTGAACTCTATCTTTTTAACCTCCATCTCATCATTTGCCAAGCTGTACACGTAAGTCACTAGAGTATTAGACTGGATATCCATCAAGATGAATGCTGGCACAGGATCCCTGTACGATAGGATGATATTAGATCATCCGTCAGCCACATTGGTACAGTTAATTTAGTGATGGATAAAGTAGCGGGAATTGGATTAGAACGATTAGTAATGTGTCAACACTCAGCAAGAATGACCAAATATAATCGATCAGATCTTTACTTTAGGGATTGTTCACATATTACGTGAGATGTTTGTTTAAATGTAGAGCTAGTCAGATTATGATCTTGATCCTATTTTACTTTATTTTACTATCCATAATTTCGATATTTTCAAAGAATACCAATTTAGACCCTTGTAACTCTGAACTTATAATGTTAAATGTAATATAAGGGAGCAAGATAATAAATAATAATAATTCCTGACCTCTCTAGAGCGCTGTAGGCCCCAGTCACCGAGCCAGGGTTGATGTAAAACTTGCCATCTTTCTCATAGGCCTCCAGTTTGTGAGTGTGTCCACTAATCATCACGTCCACGTCCAGTTGTCGTCTTATCTGAGACACGTCAAATACTCATTAAATCTAACAGTTGTCGTCTTATCTGAGACACGTCAAATACTCATTAAATCTAACAGGGTCAGCACTCAGCTGTTCGTAAGTTAAAAATATCGTAGTTAAAAATATCTTCCAATTTGAGATATTTTAAAACGGGTGCCACTCTAAAATAAAGAGGTCAGATTTTATGGGGAAATTTACTGTGTATGGCTGGCAAAACGTGACAAAAAAGGGTTACTAACCGTGGCTATAGCATCGTGGTCACCCCAGGGGACCACTTGATGGCCATGTATTAGACCAATCTTAAACTGACCCACTGTCACAACCTTCTGTTCTGGGTAACTCGTGTTCTAGTGGGAGAGAAAATTTTTGAAGGATGTAATTAAGGTTGTGTCGAATGGAACAAGCGATATAATTCTGTACATTTATCCTCAGGTTCTAGGATACAATTTTGTGGAGCCTTTGCATTAAAATTATTATTTAAAAAATCTAAATAATGCACGTAAAGTATGGCATTGATCACCAGATAAAAATAATCTATAGATTACAATTAGAATGATTTACTAATTACCGTATCAAAGTCTCCTCTGACAATATGCACATCGCTGGCAATGTTCTTTAGATAATCATGGGTTTCCCGTAAGCAGAGATTTCCAGTGCACAATATGTGTTGTATTTTACCTGGAACCTGGAAGAAGAAGAGTAACTTAATACCAATACCTAGTGTAACTTGAACCAGTAGTACATCAGTACATGATAGCAGACTTGAAGTAAATATTTGTTAGTTTACACTACATGGTTAACATTTCTAATAACAATTAACATACCAGGAGTTTCTTGAATTTCTGAGGAAGAGCTGCCTTTCTGTATGGCATGTGCATGTCCCCAATCACCAACACCAACTGCAATGTGTTCACAAATCAGACATTCAATATGATAAACGACTAATAAAATAACAAAAATCGGCCATTTATTTACCAGCTAAATAATCATGGAGCTGAGATGAATTGTCCAACGTTTAAACATGTAAAAGGTAAAGTAAAGTTTAAAAGTAAAGGTATAACTTACCACCATGATGTTAATCTGTGGTAGCTCTCTATAAGATTACTGCTGACTTAATCTATAAAGAGAAACATAGTTATTGGGGAAATGTAGAATACACTACGACGTATACAAATTGATAAAACTAAATGTTTGGTTAGAATTGCAATTCAGATTAAATGGAAAGCTTGGTAATTTTGTACCGACATTCTAGGTGATTAATATTCAGTGAAGTAGGCATAAAAACGTCATAAATATAAGCTGGATAAAAGAATAAATTAGTAAATCATAAATTACTTCGAACTGCAAAGCATCAAACCAATAAATTAGTCCCTCATAAAAACCTAGATATAGTTTAAAAACATGTTAAAACGTTTCCTGCAGTAATAATAATTTGACAAGTTGTAGTTATTAGGAGGCCACAGTTTTCAAAATTGCCCTCTTTTTCCTCTTAACATCTTTAACCTTTCCAGTAAAATCTTTAAAGAAACTCTCATTAGTGTCCTGTTGGTCTAACTGTAAGAACTTTAAAGCAGCTAGATTAAACCCGATAACATCCTTAACTTCTTTAACAACGTCCCGGGTAGTTTTATTGAGCGACTCAATAACATTAACCAGAACCTTATTAGCAACAATCTGGTTGTGATGAACTCTCAGTAGGAAGAAAGTACACTTACAGCACAGTTCCACACTTTTCTTGTTCAGTAACCACTCGTTCAAGAGGATCAGAATGTCACAGATGTAATGGAAAGGCAGGACTAGAAGTGACTCCTCAAGTTCACTAGGACGCACTTTCTTGATGACATCCAGCACGTAGTCCGACCCGGAAACGTTGAGAGAGGAGAGTATGATGTGTTGATCGGGGGGAGGCGCTGTTTTGTCAACTAGCAGCGCTTCTTCGTACTCCTGCTGTTTAGCAGTGTCTTCTCTATACACTTCTATAGCCTCCATGATACGTTCAGCTGCTCTTACTGTCTCCATGGACTTCTTACCCGCAGATTCAGCCTCGTTATCAGCGTTCTCACCCGGTATGGTGGTGTCCTGGCTGGCCACCAGACTCTGCTCGTACTGCAACTCTCTGGCAGTCTCTCTCTCGTCCTCCAGCACCAGGGGCTCGTCTGTTCTCTCCCAGATTCTGATGCTCTTATCATGGGAACTGGTAGCAACAAAGTCTCCCGACCCTGAGATATCCACACACCACACCTCCTTGTGGTGACCCTCCAGAGTCTGGATGTGCTCGAAGTTATCAGCATCCCACTGTTTCAGCTTCCTGTCTTTTCCTACTGAGAAGAAGAGATGTGTCTTGGGAACGAATACTACTTTCATCACGGCTTCGTCGTGCGCAAATATTGACTTGTGACAGTCCCCGAAGTCTAGTCCCCAGATTTTGATGTTTTTGTCAGCAGAGCCTGTAACGATGAGTGTACTGTCGGAGGAAATGTCCATGCTGGTTACTGGCAGCTTGTGTCCGTATAGCGAGATGAAGAACTTTAGGGTGTCCGTGAAGAACACTTTCACCGTGCAGTCTAGGAGAGAAACTGCTAGAAGTTTGTTGTTTTTGCTGTAACAGACTGACAAGACATCCTCTGTCATCTGTAGAGATTTAACATGGCTAACACCAATCCTACTCTTCTCTCCGACACCCCCCTCAACCAACACAAAGTCCCAAAATTTAACTAATTTATCTGCTGAACCTGTAGCAAATCCCCTGGTGTCGTGCCTCATTGCTATGTCCCAGATGCAGCCACCATGTGCCGCAACACTGGAAACCAGCACTCCAGATACCAGATCCAGAAGCTGGACCTCTCCTTTCTTGGTCCCAACCACAGCGTACTGATCACCTGGAGCCATCACAGCACACATTCCATTACCACATTCCACAGTGGTAATACAGTGCTGGGTTTTACAGGACCAGAGCTTGGTTAACCCATCACTGACAGTAAGAACTCTGCTGCTGTCAGAGCTGAACCTCACTGCTCTGACGTCACTTCTGTGGCCCAACAAGTCTAGAGATGTGGAGGGTTGGTGTTCCAACTCTGGGGTCAGGTTGTAGTTCTGGACTTTGTTGTTATTGAACAGACAGCAGATCTTGATTCCACCTTTGGCTTTTTTAAGAGGTCGACAGCTGATAGATCTCAACTTGTTGCTGCATTTGATGGTTTTCATGTACATGATCTCTTCGTCGATATCTAGAGTAGCTTCATCCTGAGTAACACTATTTTTCAGCTTCTTCCTCTTTCTCTTCAGCAGCTTTTCCTGCTCCTCCCCCGTTTTAACCTTGAACAACTCAATAGTAGAGTCGTTGTTCTGACAAAACACCACATTCTCCACTACAGTCAAACAGTTGACCCTGTCTTTACTCTTCCTGACTAACGCTCCCAACAGCTCACACTGCACCACCTTCTCTCCACTCTTCCTCTTCCCCAGCTCTCCTCCCTGATCCAGCGACCACACCCGCAGCTCCGCGGTGTTGGACCCCGCGATGAGGCGCGTCTCACCGCTACACACTGTGATACTCCACACTTCGTCTCTACCGTTAGTCAGAGTCTCAAAACAGTGCTGCGAGTCCAGGCACCACAACTTGATGTAAGTGTCTTTAGAGGAGGTTATCAGAACGTTAGAGTTCTGTAGAAATATACAGTCGTTAATGGGACCCTTGTGTCCTTTCAGTCTGTACAGGCCACTCTGACTCACCACATCCCAGACTATAACGTTAGTGTCGAGAGACCCTGAACACAGGCGGGTACCAGTGTTGTCGAACTTGAGGGTGGTTACCGAGCTAGTGTGTCCGCTCAGCACCACGTTACTCAGTTTGGAGTCTATCCCGAATATTCTGACAGTGCCGTCCTCGTACCCTACTGCTATTGTCTTCTCGTCGTGTGTTGCGAGGGAGGTTACTGTAGAGGTTCCTTCACTCATCTCGTTCAGTTTCACGTTCTTCCTGGCGTCCCACACTATCACCTGGATAGTGGATAATATGTTAAATCAATAAAATAAAAATTAAAGTTAACTATAACAGACACATATAATACATAGAGATAAAATCTAAAATTGACTGCTGTGAAAGAGAAATGTTGACAAACTCGAGAAACAATAAGAAAAATAATTAAGATAATAAGTCTGATTTCGTAAACTTTACCTTTTCCAGAGCAGGACAAACGATGACGTTGTTTTTAAGAAGGAGAATGTTTGAGGTTGGGGAGGCGATGATACCCCAGACGCTGTGGTGAGCATACCGGAGGTACTGGTGGGTCAATACCATACCTTCAAAGAGTACGATTCAGTAAGGGTGTGGTACTGGTTATGTGGTTACTAATTCAATTTAGGTAATTTAATGTATATAATAAAATCTGGATTGTTTATGTCTATATTTTACTGAATTGAATTGAATTTCAAAGGGCACACATTTTTAACAAAATAAAACGACAGAGTATCTTAAATAAGGTATTGGATTTGGAATAACAATGATAAAATCTATTATAATCTTGAATTCCAGCACGAAACCGAAAACGATCAAACGATAAAATGGTATGATAATGATTAAAAAACACGATTTTTAACAGATGATAAATTAAAAGAAGTAAATGACAAAAATAAAATTTAAACTTTGTCGCAATTATCTGACAGAAAAAAAGGTCAAGTGATCGAAAACCACAGAAAACTCGTTTGAAAGTTACTAGAGCTAAGCTACTAAATACTTAAATTATATATTCTGATAAACAGAAAATATTTTCTTTTATCTCTTATAAGTGCTACTGAGTCTAACACGAAAGGTGGACATCCAGCAAAAACTTAAAAGCCCTTCGACCAAAGAATGAGCAAGTTTCCATTTAAAGATTGCAACAAAAAATAAAGATAGATTCCCAACCACAGTAAAGAGGAATCGTTCGAATACTACTTAAACCAGGGGTTTGAAAAAGCTAACTGTAGTTTCTACACAATAGTTTAAAGTGGTTTACGGACGGGGAGGGGGTATAAAATGGCAAAATCTGGCTTATGGATTATGGGAACGATCCTCAATAGTATGAACCATAATTTAAAATAAATTAATCATGCAGAATAAAGGAGTATAAAAAAGATTAATCAAATTAATCAAATATCTAATGAACCACTAATAATTTGATACAAATTCTATATAACAAATTTGTAACCATTTGGTAAAAAAAGTCCTAACAGATTAACAGAATCTCAAATTCACTGTCCCTTAAACCTTGTAGAATTCATCGTTTGCTGAAACTGCCCTGACATGAAGAGCCTCCCCACTGAACTTGAGTTTAGCTTGATCCCACTGCATCACACTCCCCTGGGCTCTACCATTAGCAGTCGCCAGGTTCCTAGCCTCAACCCCGTTCACACTGAAGTCCCACATGTTAAGATATGCGATCTCACCCTGGAATGCTGTGAGAGGGTTCTCAACGACCGTGCCGGTTTCATGCTGCTGTCCGATGACAATGTACCCACCAGAGGGGATGATAAATCCTCTGTTGCTCGAACCTCCATCCATAACATTCCCGTCAATGTAAACCTGCCAGCGCCCGTAAGTGGTGGACCAGGTGACTACATAGTGATGATAGTTGTTGTCGAAAGGGATAAGGCAGTTGGTTCCCCTCACTAAAGGCTCTCCATCAAGCTGCAAAGACAAACATCCTCCCTGAGTTTCAGCAGCTGCTAAGATCTTGAGGTGGTCCACTTGGTTACAGTTATACGAGAGAATGTGGCGGCGATTTTTAGAACTCTCAGTGTAAGGAGGGGTCTTCATCCACCAGCTGACCGTGAAGGATGTCATCTCCGGCAGCTTGGTCTTCCAGAGGATGCTGTCGGTGGAGCTTCCTTCACCAGACTCGGGAAACACTACTTTAAAATTCTTGCTGGAGATAGCGTGGGCACTTGTTTGGGACTCGTTGTCTGGGCAGCGATCTGATCCACTGTATCGATTCTCGTTATTACAATAATCGTCGAAATAGGCACCTATCAAACGTTGTAGATTTCTGTAATCCAACCCAGCAGTTTTCATCATGCTTTTAATGAAGAGTGAGTCAATCCTGTCAATCTCGTAATAGAGAGGAATCGGAACACTGTTCAAAACGTCTAGGCTTCCATCCTCAGCATATGAGGCAGAGGACGAGGATTTACTTCCAGAGACTAACTTTTCAAAGATACGGGAATGTCTGAATTCCTCTTCAGTCAGTTGATGTCCCATTTTCTTTGTCATGCTAAAGATAGCCCCTGATCTGGGATCAATTCCAGCTTGCTCGAGATTGTACCTGTCCATGGAGTTCAAAGAGTTTTGGAAGTTTAATCTGGAACCCAATTCTAGCTTACGGACAAAATGTGTGCCAAAAGTATTTAGGAACTCATGTATTTTAGCATTGATTCCATTAGCATTATCTCTGTCACGTTGATAAGTAGCATAGATGGCTTTTAAGTTTTCTAAAAAAGCGTCAGTGTAAGTAGGTGGGTTGACAGTATCAAGGATGGTTTCATACTTAGCACAAACAATTTGAGTCATGAGAATTTCAGCGGAATGGTCTTTGGAGTGAGTTGAATCGACTTGTTTGTAATCTGAACTGCCATGAAATGAGTTATCAAAACCAGTGTAGTTTGTCTTAACCATATCCTTGAGCAATCTCCGGTACTCATCACTGCTTTGGATGGTTTCATGGGAAAATGCTTGAGTGCAACCATCCTTCGAATAAGCCTTGGTCCCATCTGGAATTTGATACTTAAGATCTCCAGATGTTAGACTCTGAGAGTAAAGTGGTTCAAATATAACGTTCCTAAAACCTGGATCTGAGGTGACCTGAGTAGCTAATGGGTTGCCATGATAGAGATGATAGCCCCTCAATAAATACCCAATATTTGGGAGAACATCCACAGGGTTACTGTTAACCGATGAGGGAAACCACAACACGATGACAAGCGAAACAAATTTCATCATTCTGGTCGAGTAATGAGGGAAGTAAGGAAATTACATGGTGTTATCTGCTGAGACTCATGAGTTGATTAATGGCATGGGTTGTTTGGTGTCACCTGAAAAGTTAGTGATGGTTATTAGAGTTATTCTTATCTACAGAGAGTTTCAGGAATGCGACAAATATGAAGAATTTCGAATTGGCAGATTATCAACAAGTAATGATGACAAGTTCAATATGTTTGTGTAACTGTAAATGTGGTTCAAGAGTGGAACAGCCATTAGAAAAGCTCGTTGGTTGTAATAATAATAAAAAATAAAGTCAAATTTTACACAGCAATTTATCGATACATATTTGTGTCAGTTATTATATATAGAAGATACTTTAAAGGATACTAAATATAAAGGTGGATACAACCATAAATAAATATAAAACAGTAAACTATCAACTTGTTGACTTGACCCTATTTACCCAACCCTGACCAGAGCAGAGGAGTGATCTCAGGAGTAAATTTTTGTTTTACTTAAATGTGCTACAAAAATTAAAGTTACGGCATGATAGGCTTCCATTCCTTACAATTTGCTATCTCGTTGAAAATTTTCTTAGCAAACCTCTTGCAGTTTTTGTCAGTGTACACATATCCATCCTCTTCTTCCATTACTTTAAACACAGTAGCTGGGGATGCACCTTTTTTACATTTATCGTGAATATTGACTTGAGGTTCACCTTTATTAATAAGCCATATATAGTACTCAGCTTGTTTCTTAACATTATAACCTGTGATAGAAGAAACTATACTGCCCACCCCCATATTAAATTTAGATTCATTTTCCATATCAATTCCATATCCATTCCATATCCATTCCATATCAATACTTTTTTCTATCCGAGGTTTGTCATGCTTTAGAGTTGATACATCATAGAGGTATTTGCTTCTCTGCAGATCAAAAGAAGAACCGGTTTTTTCAACAGACCACCAATTGCATGATGACTTTTGAACCTTATTGCATGCCCTGTACACCAAGTAAGCATGGAAAAGTACCGATTCTGATTTTGGTATCCACCTTTCAAGCGGGGTCTTGTAAATAATAGCTTCTTTTATCACATCATTTTCTCTATGATCTTTAAGGATATTCTGTTTCTTCTCTTCTGTCAGATCGACTCCCTTACGAACTGAACTGTAGTCAAAAAGGTCTTTTTCGCTTTTCCAGTCGTCTCCTTTCATTCGACCACTCCAGGACTTGTCATGGCTTGGTTGCACTATGAAATGAAATGAATTAATGCGCTTGTACAACGCCCATATGGGTATCAATTGACACAAGTGTGAGGTACTAACCATGTCAGAGTGGTTCTAAATGGCGAGGTGAAAATATTCAGCAACAAACAACTTGAAAGTTCAAGTCAAACAAAATTCAAAATTCACCAAAACGAGTAACGTAATTTCGATTTTGTTAGCTATTCGATCACTGCAAGATTGAAAACCAAAAAGACGGGACACATTTTCTATCACATAGAAAATAAGAATATTCAAACAATATACACATAATATAGCAATGACCCTATATAAAAATTCTATAAAGTAAAGTAGAGTAAAAGTAAAGTAAAGTAAAATTTATGACATCACATCATCACACATGTCTACAAACTATCATCGCACTGTGTGAAAAAATATATAATAAATATTTCCCCACCAACATTAATTAATTATCAAATACAATATTTAAAAACAATTTCATCAAAAACATTATCCTATTTTTAAAACTTCCCAGTGGAATACAGATTTAAAAAAACGCTTCTTTGCCACATAAGGATGGAACCAAAGATAATTGTTATGTTTCTTTTTATTACTGACATAACTGGCTCCCTCAATTCTTACTAAAACTTCATTAGAAACATTCCAAAAAAAGCAATCATTTGTAATACTTTTAGAAATCATATCTATCTTATATCCTTCTAATTTAATTTTAAAACCTAAAACTGTCACAGAGTTCTTGACGTCCGGAGGGAGTTTGTTCCAATATGGAATAACTCGCTCCGGGAGAAAAGACTTCTGGATATTCTTGACCTTTGTCACACTTTTACTACATCTATTGGATGAAACCAGATTAAGACCTGATCTGCTTGGTCTGAACAAGTCTGAACCATAATCAGTCATAGCATTAATAACCTTAAAAGCTTCAATAAGGTCCCCACGTATTCGCCGCTCTGCCAGCGTTGTCAAATTGAGGATTTCCAGTCTACGGCTGTAAGGAAGAGTACCCACCTCATCAATCAGACGGGTAAACCGCCTCTGGACGCTCTCCAGCTCCAAAACAGTCCCCCAACTTCCATGAGCCGCAGGTGGATTCCAGAATTGGACACAATACTCAAGATGAGGTCTTATTAAAGCTTTATATATAGCAATCATAACAACCTTTTCTCTAATAACTAAATTCCTTACAATCCAACAAATCATACAATTTGCCTTAGCGATACATGCTTTGATCTGTTCGTTCCAAAGTAGGGAGCTATGGGTAATAACCCCCAAATCTTTTTCCTGTGCAGATACTTCAAGTTCTATACCATTTACCTTATAATTTAAATTAGGATTGTTGTTAAAATTAATGTGCACTACTTTGCACTTGGCAAATACAAATATTTTCTATCACACAGTATTGTGGTATAGTATTGTGGCTCTAGTTCAAGATATACAAGTGTGCTACACCACTCAACACTCAAATTTTTCTAAAAGGGCCTCCCGAAGGTTGAACTTAACTTGAATTGATGGACTGATTCCGAATCACCCCAGGCGATACGACATTTAAAGTTAAAATGCTAGCGATATAACAGCAGAAGAACTGTTTTGATCACTTTACATGACCATAATATAAGGAATTCAGTCTTATAATAAGACTCAAATAATTTGAATATGGATTTAATGACAATTATATTATCCCTATTTAAAGTAAAAATATTATCGAGCAGTGATTTAATGAAAATATTATGTGCGACAGACTGCAGCATTAACGATTAAAGATTGTGGACAGAAACATAAATATAAATATCAGAATCAGTCGAGTGACAATTTAATGTCATTTTTATTAGTGACATTAAACACTTATGTGTGCCTTAAAATAAAACAGCGGCACATAACATAAATGTTTAACATTCGTGTAAAGTTTAATTTTTTAGCATAAAATAGATTGTACTTTGCCGCTCGATTTTGAAGTATGACACATGACAGTATACGATTAATATCAAAAATATGCGCGGCGCGGGTAAATTTGTTGTCGTTTATTTCATTCATCATTGAAGTATGAAGGCAATTAACTTGCTGTTAAAGACTGCAGTGGTATTAAAATGACTCCGGGTTCGAGCTAACCTCATCAATACGCTAGGGAGGGAGCCGTACTAGGATAATTGATACGATGCTCATACGTAGTGCGATTATTAATGCTCACGTCTAGATACTTTAGTAATTAAGATTTACTTAGGACTGTAACCTTGAGATTAGTATTTGTGACATCATTTAATTACTTATACTTAATTCTAAGCCATGAGCCAAACGGCCATTCCTAATGCTAAGGGTTACAAAATAAAGACACTTAAATTGTTGGTTAAAGTAACACATAGAATAAATACGGTAGACACTCTTAGTTACAGAGAGAGTGGACTACAATGAATAGCATATATCAATATCTTTCCTAACTAATAACTAACTTATAATGAACTTCCTAACTTATAACTTACTTTCCTAACTTAACTAATTTATCTACTAAGGGTTAAGACAGTCACTCATATGAGAGCTGGCAATACACATCGGGATTGTGGTGCTGAACTCTGCCATATTCTGTGCATCAAAAGATATATATAGTCGCGTGGGTGATCATGTGACCCACGTGCTTGAATGATCATGTGACAATGATTTCATGTACTTGAAGCGACTGACAAGGTACGTGATAAATTGATAGTGGTAATATCTTGCAGCTCTCCGCGTCGAAGAAACTGCTCGAACGCCTGTACCAGGGCTTTCAATGTCCGTGAGGTAGTTGAGCCGCTTCAGTTGTGATTAGAAGATAAGGATAAGATTTTATTTTGATAGTTACTTAGTAACAGCCGTTACCAGCTGTCACACAATGGTAGAACTATAGGGTGCATTTATAGGGTGCATTTGTAGGGGCTATAGTGAGCGAGAAGCTATACATGTGTGAGGTGATAACCAATTTCAATAAGTATGGTTGAGTGCACTGAGTTCACTTGTCACGCCGTGTTGCATTTTAAAGAGCTTGACGGGCCGCCCCATTGGAAGAGCTCCTATGCGGGCAAGAGATAATGCCTAGATGACACATTGACTATCTTGTGGGTGACCTGAAAACTATGGATGAATCCGTGTGGCATGTCATGTAGTTGATAAGGTAATCTTTCAGCAGAGTTCACCAACGTACCCAAGATAAAAGTTAAACTTAGTTATGGTAAATAAGGAATATAAATGAAGGTCCTTAAATCGCCTCGACTCAGGGAATATCATCCATACCATTACACTACAACTGGTGAATAAGAACTAAATGAAATCCACCATGTTCGCCTTGACACAGCGAAACCCATCTATAACACTTGCTAATTATTTTTTAACAAAGTTCATAATAGCATTTCATAATAGCAAAACTATAAGCACAATTTTGTTTTTTACTGCATCCTAACTGAAATTCATATGCTATATCTTTAACGACCCAATAACCATAACAAAAAAAATTATACCAACTTCCTTGCAATAAACAGTTATATGTGATATATGGTCATATCACCAATTTAATTAAATCACAGTACGCAATTGAAACAGTTTTTCGCCGATATCTCGCCAGAGCAACATTTTAACTTTGAGTCATGTAAATTATAATGATTTTGGATTTTGAATCAGCGTTTAAAATACATTAATTCTAATTGGTTTTAATTGTAGAGTGTCAATAATGAATAAACCCTCTCAAAATTTCAAAGTTTGAAATTGAGTTTATAATGATTTATATATTAGCACACTAAAACAAAAAATGTTGATTGCTTGGCGATTAATTACGATGTTATAATAATCTTGTGCAGCTCGGCGTAACCCAATTACGTATTGCGCTGCACTGTTAAACCAATGAAAAGATTACTGTGCCGCGATCAGCTTGTCACTCGATCCGCCAAATCTCTATTCGGCGGTATAGATATGATTATTATACGAACATAATTATAATAGCCTGAGCTCCCAGGTAAAGTTGTAATATTTTAACCATCAACACTTTTAAATTTTAAAAGGTGATTGAGATTGGATTGATTGTTAAGTGAGGGTCTGATCTTTGCTACACGTTGTATAACTCTTTTGTGCACGCAAAGCGTTCACTCCGGCCGGCCGCCGCGCACTTCGAGCGCGAAAAGGAGTTGCAGCGTGTGTCAATCTATACTAAGCTGCTTTACAATTTTTGTGATGTGAATTTGTGGATTTTTATTATTATTTTTAGTTGACCATTTATATATTTACGAAGGGTTTTATTTTTACCCTGGTTTTAAAAATGTGTATCATTTTTATAACATCTATTGTAATTTATTGTATTGGTTTATTTTGTAGATATTTTACTGTACTATTTTATATTTCACCTGGGGACCTCAGGCTATCATGTTTATAAACATAAAATAGAGATTAGGCGGAATGACAGGCTGAGTGCGTCCCAGTAATTTATATTGTATACAATTTTACGGACGAAATGATCCCAGGTGGGACTCCCAACCAACCGTTTTGGCGGGTAGTTGATTTGACCATTGGGACTCGGAAGCATTTAGCGACAAGTTTAAAACTTGTTCTCGTAGCAGGCCAATCCAGTGCAGTATAAACAAGAAAGGTCAAATATCCAATGAATCAACTATACCTCACATTAAACCGTGTTCTATATGTATCAGCTTGAGGAAGACTGGTGATAAACAAGCAAGGCCACATCGCTGCCAAATACTTGGGGCAGAATTCCACTCTAGAGAATCAACAAAACCTATTTTCCAATCTAAGGAACTAATGACAGTACATAACATATATAGATACAGATGCATTACTGAAACAATGAAGATAGTGAAGAGTCATCAGCCCATATCCATGTATTCTCTCTTTAAGAAGTCTGAGCTCAGAGATGACAGATTTGTGACACCACACTCATCTCACAATTTCGCATATAAAGGGGCAAATTTATGGAATAGGTTTCTTGAGCAGTCAAATGCACGTGGTAAAGTAGGTTCACTAGGTTCAACTAAATCCCGATTGAAGCTTTCTATCATGAAGGCTCAACACCAACCTGACAATATTAACTGGCAGGATTTAAACTTCAACACTTTCCTATGAAAAGACTCCCATTTATATTTATATCTTTTAGATTTTACACCTGTCACTCACATCATATATGCACCACAAAAGAAAAAAGATTCATTCAATCATTACATTATACACTCACTCCACCACACATGCACACAAAACATTAAAGCAGGTTACACGCGGGTGTAACGTTCACTTTATTCCAAGGGAAAAATAATACTTTACGTAACGCGCGATTTACGTCTTGGTAGCTAAATTATTCAAGTGAAACAAATTTTAGTGAAACAAATTTAAAATTTTATCCTTTATTTTACAATCATAATATAATAATATTTATAAGCGCTATTTGTCAGAGCGACACAAATGCGCGAGCGCTTGCGCGGCTCACCTATCCAACACTCTTGTTTACATCGTATCAGGCAATGGTTCAGTTTAATTATGGTAAGGGCACAGCCTGTCAAAAACCCTTTTCGCATGATCCGTCGACACCGCCTGAAGGTGAATGCATAATAACGGATCATGAACGTACGGAATCAAACGTTAATAAGCTTGCAGCTTCCGATGAAAATGTATTCAACTTTGTGTCATGCTTGAATTGGTTTTGGACCTCTTCAATGCTTTTAATTTATTTATTATTGTTATTTGGTATTATGAGCTGATATGTATATATACATACGGTATCTAAAATTAAGCGTATAGCGAGCATATTTAACAATTTTTAAGCAATAGTGTATTGCAAGCAGCTGTAACTTAAATATAAAAAATATAAAAAATCATATAATTATAACACAAAACTAAAATTTTATTGGAATATAGGTTAAACTAAGATAAAAATTAATATCAGCCCCTTCGCCACTCTCAGCAGTCAACCAGGGTTCATAAAAGCTTAACAGCGCCTGGGTCCGTTCACCAACTGTGCTAATGTGAGTGGCGGTGTGGTAAAACCATTTTAACAGCGTAAATATTTATCAAATAGAAGCGCGCTAGCTGCTAGCATACTTGGATCATTTAATTTTTAATCAAATTTATTCGGATATATATTTATTGATTATGTATTGAATTGGTGATAAATAAAAAAAAATTGTCTTTTCTTAATGATCTGGCCCGGCGCGCGCTACTTCGTAGCACTTGCCGTCGGGCATTTCGAGAAGAAAGCGGCGCGCGCTACTTCGAAGAAATTTAGACGAGTAACATCCGTCAAGTAGTTGATGCACTGATCACAAGCAAAAGCCACTTTGGTCTACTTGCTGTGAGGTGTTTCAGCTACATGGGTTGGGAGTCCCCCCCCTTTTTTTAAAATTTTTTTTATTGTATTGGTTTATTCATTTTTCGAGGGTGTCTATCTTTATAGCTAAACAATTACCATTGCTGAAATTATCTGTATACTGTTCGAAACATTTTTATATATTATACAGGCTGATGTGTACATAATAACATTATAATAATATTGAAATATTATATATTAACAATCAATATGATAAATTGTATTTAAATTGTGAGATATTGCGCGACATATTATATATTAACCTTATATCGATCACTTTTTCGTTTTGTATTGATAGGTCTTGTTAATCTTGAAGTTTTAGTTAGATTACTGATTTTGTACATTTTGTATTCATCACTAATTAGTGCTGGTTTTCATTCGGTGGATATAGTTAATAAGTATGTAAGTAAGGAGTAAATAGGGGTAAAAAGACTGTTATAGTTAAGCTTACTCAACATCAGTTACACTTGACATCAGGGTTCCGTTTGTAAACTGTTTTACAAGGATCATGTGATGTCTAATTTTCTAGCCGAAATTATCGCCTGTCAAAGGTCAGCACTTGTGGTAACTCACAAAGCACAACATTTCATCCGCGCACTGAAAATACTTACATCAAGGCGTCCAAGACAACCTGAGTTGGTGAAACTTAGGTGTCCTGCGCAGCTGGCATGCGCACGTGTGGTGTTCTCTTGCAAGACATCTAATAGATATTTGGTTTGGTTACAGTTTACACTCATTTCGTTTTAGTTTGCTGTGTGGCGTATGCGTATGCATGTATTATATTATTCACTCGATATGGAAAATCCCCTGAGTCCATTGACCAGATGCCTTGTAAACGGCCAGCCAGGTTACACGAGCTGCCTCTGTTACTTGATAAGAAAAAAGAGGAGTCCTCAATCAGCACCAACCTTAGAATCATTGAGCTCGGGAAACATAACATGTACAGCATAGTTCTATCAACCACATGTGGAATGGGACAAGAGGGCAATACCTTCTTGAAAATAGAGCTGGTTAGCTGTCTAGAAATAGATGTCAGTAAGTCAAAGATATAGTGAGGCAATAGCCTCTATCAGAAAAAGAGCAAGATTTGACCTTTCGTGGACCACTAGCATTGCTCTTAAAGAAAAGTATGACTAAAATGAATAATGTAGTGAGATATAAGACTTAAACATTAATTTGGAGCCTTGTTTTAAGTTTTAAGACCAAGAATTTTTAACTTCACACACAATTCTAAAACCATTGGGTTGTGGTATAATACAGCACTCTGCAAAAAACTATTTTCAATAATAAAAACATAGACTAATTAACTGACCAATCTGTAAACAACTTGAAAAGGACCATCCAAACTTGGCGGGAATTATTTTATCAAGAGTATGTATTGTAATAAAATCATCGGCTATCACAGATTTAATAACAATAATTGTTAGCCCCACCACATCTTTTGTGAATATTTTTCCAAGTTATCATTTAAAAATACATCCACTTTTAGCAATGATGGAAGCTTTTTCCATGAAGAGGTTATAGCATGACCGAAGAATGTAAGTTGTTGGATCCTATCTTATTATTATTACATTGATAAAATGTTCTTTTTTTACATTGAGTTGAATTATCATCATGATTCAATTGCAGGCAAGGGCAGATCTTGTCTAATGGGTATCTTATATTTCTAATTAACAAATATTTCTAATTAACAAATTAAATCTCAAGGCTTTCTGATTGCTTTAAAAGTACTACTAATTGTTGTTGCAGGGAAGAAGATATTCCAGTTTTCTCCTCCCTAAGTGAGGAGGTCAAGTATTGGAAAGATAGAGCGGCTGAATACAAAGAAGGGTTTGTTATTCCTTCAATTTGTTTTGAGTTTGTTGCATACAATTTGAAATAACATTTTGGTGATTTCGATTGGGAGCTAAAATTTTAGCTCACCTTGTTTTAAATATCTTTATTTTTCAGACAAGACAGCGTGCAAGCACAATTTGATGAATTTGTCGAAGATTCAAAAGAGTTAGAAGCTGAACTTGAATCACAGTTGGAGCAGGCCGAAAAGAAGATAAGCGATTTGTCGAAGATCAAACAGAGTTTCGAACTAGAGAATGACAAATTAAAGGTAAACAGCATTTACTGCACCCGCTTAAGTGTAATTTTCTACATTTTACCAGCCATAAATGTTGAGTAATTTTAGGTTGTTTGGCAATTTAAAAGGCTTAACGATAAACCATTATTATATGGTTGGTCACTAAATCAATTACAGGGGCGGGGTTGGAGGTGTTATATAATACGACCTGCCATTCCTAAAACTTATATTTTGATGACCATTAATTGCATTGACCTGATAGACTATAAGTTATATCTCTAAGGACCGATAGTTTGATAACAGTAGGCCCCTAAACTTTTCATTCTAAAGAAAACGAGAGCAGGGTTATAGTAAATTTTCAAATAAATTGTTAATTATATGTATAATCCAATATGCTCGAAATTTCTGAAGTGAATTGTACGTTATACAAATTTTCTTTATGGTTCATTTGCTATAGATTTGTTTAGCATGCAATAGACATTTAACGTGCATATGTTCGAATTGATTCGATATCGATCAATAACATGCCTGTGAATAATTTGTTGGCCAAGCTCCATGATTAATTGATTAGTGAAATTCGTTCTTTTTCCAATGTGTAAAGATTGAAAGATTAAAAACGTGTCAGTTCCATCATGTAACTAAAGTTTTAAATCGCTTCATTCATCGCCATTGATAGCCAGTTTGTGCTGATTCCACGGGAATAGCACTTTGCTGGTGAACAGCTACGAAACAGTATGCTCTATATAATTTATAAGGTTGGGTTGCTTTATAAACAAATTTAATTAATTTAATCCTACTCACCACGTGATCAAAGTATTTTCCCGGACAGGTTATATTATGTGCGCTAGTTTTAATCTTCTGTATTTGCTCTACAGCTAGGTTCCCCAGAAATGAAGTGATTACTAAGATTATCCGACACAGCGTGTTGCGCAAGGTGCAACCTTCGCTTCCATATATTTAGATTATTAATTGCTCTGTCTGCCATAATACTAGCAAGGATTGTAATAACCAAAGGACTTATACACATAATATCACATAATATACACATAATATCTACAGCGATGGTACTATCTACCACAGCCCACATGTGGAATCATGGGACAAGAGGGCAATACCTTCTTCAAGAATCTAGCTGGTTAGCTGTCTAGAAATAACTGTCTCATTTGAGATGAGCATCATTTGAATTATTTGATTTGATACATTCCATCATGTATTATACACTCGTTTTAGAACTCCTATTATTGCAATTCTGCCTGATATAAATAAAAGTGCATTATAAGTTTGATATATCAAAACTAAGTCTCGCTTCAAAGGCTTAAACCTATGTTTTTTGGGTATGTTTTTTACATAACACGAACAATTTATTTCATTCATACCACGTGACCTTACCCCCCTCTCATTTCAGGACCGTCTCCAAGCAACCACAAACGAGTTTAGTTTCACAGTGAGTTCCCTGCAAGATGAAGTCTCTGAGTACAGTGGTAAAATCAGTGATCTGCAGAAGTATGTTCGAGAACTGGAGCACAATAACGACAACCTTGAGAGAGGCAACAGGTACTTTTGATTAATTTACTTACTTATTTGTAATGGCCATATTGTATCATATATTATACTATTCGTCTTTTGAGGTGTTTGTAATTTACTTTTTCTTATTTATTCACTTATTTTATTTCCTGAATCTGGTGACTGACTGTAATCTTAAGTAAAATCAATAACTGTAACAACTCCGTTCAGTCAACACACCTATTTAAGTTATTACAACGACTGGGACGACTTATAAAATGAAAAAAAAGTTCAGCAACCTTTGTGGATCAAAATATGTATGATATAAAAGGGCCGATAACGGTCCCCACATCTGCTTCCCTAATACCTAAGTACATATAACATATTTGAGGCACATTTGAGGGAATTTTCTCGAATTAGAACCTCCAAAACCAGTTCCCGTTATCTCTGAATACAGTATGTGATATATTACACTGGGAGTTACAAGAATTATCGTATTATTTTACTACGGTACTTGTGCTCGCCATCAAACACTGAGTGCTCTGCGTCATTTGTCTGCTGTGGCCAAGTACAATCCTCGATTTGAAACCTATAAAACTGCATGTGCAGGTACAAGTAAATTAACAGGCACCTGCTAATTAAAGTGGAGTCAGTAGTTTATGGAACTGACTGCGGACCGTATAAGGTGAAAAGTTTACAGACGGCTGTATGGCAGCCGGCAGGGTGTAACCGGTAAAATGGCCGGCTAAAAACCGGTTATTGTTATTTCCTGGTTATAACTTATTCAGTTGCTGTGTGTCAATACCTTAGTTCAAGTTATTTGAAACAGAACATACTTCCAGCTACATATTATTGCATCACAAGTGAACTCTAGTGGGTTGTGTAATTAAATAATTGTGAAATATCCACCTATCAATGAGCTGTACTTTTAGTTACAAGCTATTTCATCATGAGATCTAACTACAACACACAATGATGTACTTGATACAATACATAGTGCACATCCTCGCATTTACTTGTTCTGTAAAGCTACATACTGTTCAGTTACGTAACGTCCAATATAATACGAGCTGCAGGATATTATTACTGCTGTAATATATAAGGTAGGATATATGTACAACAATGTACTGTTGTAATACAGGCTGTGGAGGCTTACGTACACAGTGTAACCACTAACCTGTGATACGTTTGCCAGCTCTACCTGTGTCCTGTATACTGTGTAGTACAGTGTCTAGGTATGTACAGTGTAATGTAGGAATGTTAACTAGTGTAATGTAGTGTAATGTAGTGTAATATACACACTGCACTACTACTACACGCAGTAATTGCAGAGTTACAGTGTTGGGAAGTGTGTCTATTGTAGGAGGTGTGCTGAAGTACACATTTACCCAGTCTCTCTATTGTCTTCTTTATCAGTGTACCGGCTAGTAGCTATTAATATCACTGTGTAATACCAGTGATAAACCAGTCTGTCAAATTATATTATGTTGGCATATTTGATATATCGGGGAGTGTAATTCGATGAAAGCCAGAGCTTTTTTGTGTGTTCTGATCTACTTCCGTCGTGTGGACGTCATGTGGACGTGTAATGGGGTACCCTGGTGTGGGATACTATCAGGAATAAATACAGGGGTAGAGTTTAGTTGGTCAGAGCCCCTCCGAGGGGTAGCGTTGGTCAGAGCCCCTCCGTAAATGAGGTGTAAACTGGATAATTGGACTGATTAATTTGGTAACAGTTTATATGTGAACAATAGATACGTTACCTCCTGCTAGGGGTGAAGTGACAAATTGTGATAAAAGCTGGAGTTAGAAATGTTGTAATCTGTCACTACTTATCGTGAGCTAATGACTCTGATAAGTTATAACATTCATTGTGTAACTGCTCACATACCTAGCATTGTTTTCCTTTTAAAACTTGTAGTTTTATTTAAAATCCATTACAACTATGCTAAAATATGCTTCTTACAGTAAATACTTCAGTAATGTTGTTACAATTTCCGTCTTTTTGGAATTCGAGGTATGAGACTTGGACTAACAACATTGCACAGACTAACCTTACAAGTGTAAATTAGGAGAGGTAATAAAGTCAGTTGACTGCACATTCAGAGGTGTAATCTTATTAAGTTCAAATTCAATAACTTTTAAGTTTAAATGAGTTGCGTACGGAAATGTTAACCTTATAATTCAAGTAACGCAGGTTCAACTCAGGAAATGATATCCTGTTCTCCTTGCGTTGCACTATGTTTATAAGATAATATAGTCGCACATTCTGTCTTAATTGTATAATAAAACAGTTAGTTTGTTTTTGTTCGGATATACCAACACCAGTCACCAGCGCTCTATTTAACGCTAATTAATGACGTGACACTAATTGTATCTAGCTAGCTGGTGTTGTAATCTATTCTTGGCACATGTAAACACAGCTAGTTTACACACACACGAATGGCTCGTTATAAAAACGTGTGTACATTGTGTACATGATGTACTGTTAATTGGTGATTAAGTGATTATGTCTGTGCGATATAGTGAGGTAGTTCAGCGTGACGTGGTGGTAATTGGAACAATCTCATTCTCCGTAACAAGCTTGACTGTATTGACAGCGTGTATAATGAGCTGTTAATAATCTCATATTCTAGATATTAGTAAAATCGCGCACTCAGTTCATCTAAATAAAAGTCTAAAGTCTCTGTATTATATACTATTAAATGTAACCAGTAATTAGATTTCCAGCAATATTACAAAATCCCTACAGCAAAACACAACATATAATAATGTAATAGTTAACTTAGTCTCAATAACAAACCAGCACGTTATGTTCAGTAAACCAACCCTCTATTATGACAGCGCGGCTACAATAAATCTACAATACGTCATGATAACACAGGACAATAACACAGGACAATAACACATGATGTCATATCTGACCTGTCTAACCATTAAAGGTAATCTCAGCCCAGATAACAAGGTGTGACAACTAGATGGGGATATAAGGGAGGTGTGACAAAGTGAAGATGTGTGCTGAGTAGCGTTGGGTAGTGTGCTAGGAGATCAGTTGTATCATGTAGACTATACTCAGTAGACACTGCTCCCCACAGGTAGTGTAGTGTACGCCTTCTCAGTCGCCCGGCGCCCCTCAGGGAGTCAACTCTACTCATCGTATAACAACAATTGTATAAGTTAAAACTATAATTATGGACCATGGTTTAGTGTATATAATCTAGAGCTCTATATTTGGTGCAGTCTACTGAATGATTGAGGATACCCTATCAAATACTATACTCTAGTCTCTACCGTAGTTCTCTAGAACTGTAGAAACTTTACTTCAGGTTCCCTCACAAAAGTAGAGATTTGTCCTACATTAACAAACTAAATAGATAGACGTGGCAGTGTTTAGTCTGATTATTAATACACTTAACACCAAGTAGGGCTGTATCATAATGTAGGGCTGTATTATAATGTGCAGTAAAACCTTGTGTGTACCGGGTTTCTGTGAAGACAAGTTCATAAGTCTTCACAGAAAGAAGTAGTTTAATAGCAGATCTACAAGTTGTGTGACGGGTTAGGGTTAGGGTATCTAGTGCAGCTACTACTATACTAAGTACTACTGTACAAAGTGTCATATCTAGTGCAGCTACTACTATACTACTGTACAAAGTGTCATATCTAGTGCAGCTACTACTGTACTACTGTGCAAAGTGTCATATCTAGTGCTACTACTACTACTACTACTGTACAAAGTGTCATATCTAGTGCAGTGAGCTACAGTACAAAGTGTCATATCTAGTGCAGTGAGCTACAGTACAAAGTGTCATATCTAGTGCAGTGAGCTACAGTACAAAGTGTCATATCTAGTGCAGTAAGCTACAGTACAAGGGTGTGTGTCAGTGTTAAAACACTGACAACATCAGTACGTGTGTTGACTAACAGAGAAAACTTAAACCCTCCCTTCAGTTGTGTTATTACTTGTAAAAATGCGTGTTTTAAAAGTAAGATCTCAACAAACCCACGCACATCTATATAATACCTGCAGAATTCCTGCTATCCACACACATATATTATAATAATGCAGTATGTGTTCTTAAAACAGTTTGTGTTATTGGCATGTTGGGAATGCGGACTTCGCCTACCAGAATGCAGCTCACCATTACTTCAAATAGGCCAAATAGTTGTTTGTCCGTATGTGTGTACGTATGTGTGTGAGTGGTGAATGCCTTTAAATGCAAATGGACGTTTTACTCCTGAAAGGAATGCAGGTAAATATGCAGGTAAAATGCAGTTTTTAATGCATATTTATTATTTGCCTGCATTTTTACCATATATCTGCAGACCCTGAAGTATTGGAGGCCTTGTCAACTTTACAATTACTAGAGTCCCACACAAATTAAGTGTATTTTAATTTAATTACGTATCAGTACCTCTGGTACACTCAATACAATACAGCACACACACATAATAAACGCGAATAGTAGTGCGGCTACATATTGTATGTGCTTGAATAAACTTCGGAAAGATTTTGGGTGACATATACCAGGGTGACATGTAACTTTATACTTGTAAGTAACGATATATTAATATGATGAGACTCTCCAGTGACGTCATCACAAGTTAAAACACTCCCTTATCACTGATAAAACTAGAGCGCACAGTGTGCCGGCTCACTGAGGAGCGGTATAAAATGTCACAGTTATGTGTTCCTGATTATCTCAAACAGCGCATTGCTTATATTTGTGACTTCGTGTACAAGTGTGTGATCTCACCAACAGATATTTACGGCACAAATCACTTAATCACCATTGTCATAAGGATTCTACCGATCTATGAAATGGGTCCGAAATGAATTGGAAATTAATTTAGGAATTTTATTTGTGTAACGAGATCAAGCGAGCCCGCCAGTATTTTAATGAGATCTATTTACACGTGTACCATGGCAATAGTACTGGTCATTTGTATCTAATTATAACGACTTTTCAAATGATCACACAAGGGCCCTGGACTCTAGCTTTGAGAACAATCCTACCGATGAACAATAGCTAGTGAACAATGAATAATGCCCCTCTGCACAATGGATAATGCCACAAAGTACAATGAATAACGCCACTGTATGCTCAATGAGCAATGCCACCATTGACTCTCTGCGCAATGAATAATGCAGATGAATAATGAATAACGCCACTGTGATAGTGAGCGGTACGTGCCCCGGCTGCAGAATGTACCGCTGTTCACGATCATTGACATCTGTCCAAGATCCAAGTTGACAGCTTGGACAATGAGCCTGTGTCACAGCACTATGTAGCGCTGCTCACTTGTAATGATATGTGCGTGTTGTCGCAGTATTATCACTAATATTCTGAACCATGTACACATAAAAACATAATATAATAAGCTACCTGTTACAGTCGGCACGGCTATTCTGTCCTGATGAGATTATTGGCAATGTGTTCTGTAAGAATGAGAGAATAAACAGAGCTGGTATATTCCTGACCAGCTGAGAATACGTGTTTTACCTGGCATTTTGCCAAACTCAGATGTATACTATGATAATAGACGGTTAATGACGGGCTATTTGCCAGCTGAGAGCAGGTCACTATTACTGTTGTTTCAATGACGATGTGTTATCAAGGTGAGGCACATCACAGATAATCGACATTTTTCAAAATTCGCTCTCAATTGTTCACTGTTCAGATGTGTGTAGGTAGAATGGACATGCTCTCAATTGTTCACTGTTCAGATTGTGTAGGTAGAATGGACAGGCCCAACCAGAACCCTTAAACATTGTAACCGTAATTGGGCCTTGTAAGCTTCAGAGAACGTATTAATTTAAAGCACGAAGGGTCCGGCTGGCCCGAGTAGCTCTACCACTATAACACTATAACACCTCGGCTGATTGAGGACAGGCAATGCGGCGTCTCTCTAGTTGGTTATCTGCCCTCTACGGCCCACGCTGATATCCCTTATATACAACACACTCTTTGGAGACAGCTCTTTGTCACATCATATTACCATGAAATAGAGGGGTGTACTTCACCCCACTACAGTCTACAGGGAGGAGCCCCTCTATTTGCCCCTCTAGTACAGGAGTGAGCCCCCTATTTGCCCCTCTAGTACAGGAGTGAGCCCCCTATTTGCCCCTCTACAGTCTACAGGGAGGAGCCCCTCTATTTGCCCCTCTAGTACAGGAGGGAGCCCTCTATTTGCCCCTCTAGTACAGGGAGGAGCCCCTCTATTTGCATATTCTACTTCACCCTACTGCGCTGTATTTGCATATTCATTACCTGGTGTATTAATATGTGTTCACTATTGTTAGTTTGAGAGTCACACGTAACGAAACACCGTCACAAATGTCACGTGTTTGATGCTCTGTAGTCTGTACGTACGTAGAGAAATCTCTCATAGACAAATGCCCATACAAATATTTTAGATATACGGATATTACCGTAATATTATATGACGATTTATCAGTTGTCACAGTATATAATCGTGTCATAACGTGTCATCAACCGTCTGCGGTCTCTGATAGCACACTAAAGAGATGGTCTCTGATAGCACACTAAAGAGATGGTCTCTGATAGCACACTAAAGAGATGGTCTCTGATTGCAATCCAGCACATGATGATGTACACAATGTGTTATTCTATCAGAGCAGTGTATACTTACAAGCTTACTCCCTCATCAAACTATGATCGGAATGTTGGGATTCTATACTTGTGTAAGCACAGGTGTTTCGTTGATTTGTATTTATATATATTAGGTGACATTAACACATTTAATATGAAATCCGGATTGGGATATTATTTATGAGTCGCAGAGTTGAAATATTTTCTTGGGTAAATTTCTATTGATCCCGTTTGGTGCGACAAGGAAAAGGCTCTTATCAGGAAAGAAATTGATCAATAGAAATTGACCCAATAAAACATTAACACAGATAATATAAATTATAATATAAGTATAAGTATAGGATGGGTTATGCAGTTACTGAGCTAATGTCACGCTCACACGCTGTGTAAAATAGCGAGCTATAATATTATTTAACACACAGTAATATTATGTAGATTATGTTAATTATGTTATTGATACACAGATATTATTATTTTTATTTGTCGTGCTGTATGAATTATGCGAATGAAATGTTACGTAATTAATTTGCCGTGTATAATGAGTTTCATCTATGTAATTAGCTATTCTTGTTAACCAAATTAAAATTAACTAAATATCTAATACTCCTGTATAGTGTATATCACTAAGACTACTGTATATCACTAACACCTAAGCGCAGTAGTGTACGTGCTGACGATGTCACTTAACTTAAGGTCTCTTCGACAATAAACAGTATGTGATACTGACTATTACCTGACTTTATTACAAAGACTTCACTACGCTACAATAGCATTAACGTGTGCAGTATTACAATCGTTATATCAGGAAGTAATGGTGTACCGGGGTACTAAACTACATACAGTAATCTAGATACCAAGACAGCTAGTCTTGGTGAACGGTGACCCATCAACATGACAGTGTACAGTGTGACTACAGTGTGACTACAGTGTGACTACAGTGTACAGTGTGACTACTACAAGATCAGACTCATCTGTCATTATGTTGACAGATGCACAGTCGGGTCTTTCTTCTGCAGAATAATTGTTGTTTTCTTTCCTTTAAATCCTGTTTCTTTATGCTACGTGTCTTATATTTGATCTGTTTCATATCGATATAATTGTTAATCTAACAGTTGTATTTTTCAGGGCGATGATGTGTTCTTTGGAAGATTTCGAAAAGAAACTCAACGAGGTGAGATATTCCAGGATTAATATTAAATTACAATTTGTAGATTTTGTCTCTTCCATTAGAGCTCTATTGTGCTAATTACCCGCAAAGTTATTACCATGTTCAACGTTACACCTCTACATTTCTCATCTAATTTGTTGAGCGTATTACTATTCAATTGTTTAACAACCCCGTGCTATGATAAAGGAATGTGTGTCACGTGACAGTCACACACTCTTGTTTAGACCAACTCGTGATTCCCCACAACAGCTATTTCCGACAACATCACAATGTTTAGTGTTATTAAAACACATGTGAGGTGTGATGTATTGTTGGATGACAGTGATTGTAATGGTGTATGACAGGTGAGGCTGGAATGATGAGACTATGATGGGTGATTACGTTATCTTGTTACACTCGCCATATCAGATATCTCATCAAGTTCAATGCATTTGCTAGACTTTTGAATGTCAAGAAATATTTGGATTAACACTTGATACATAATTAATTGACTATCGTAATCCACTGTTAAATCAACACATATTATTCAGATCAACAGCAATTTATGACTGAATAATGATATGCACTGGAGTTGGTATAATTGTGATGTGTAATATCTTAATTCCGTTATATTATATAAGCATCACGCATATCAATACCGTTATAATTGATCTATGTGTTTCCTTTCTGACTAAAATAACTTAAGAGCAAATACGGACAGCTACAAAGTTATTTTATAATTCCGTCTGACCAAGAAAAGAAAGCAGCACGTACCAAATGACGCGCTGCGGTCTCCAAAATCATGACATATCTCCTAAATTTTACAGAACTGACACAGATCTCATAGAACTGACAAGCAGCTTACATTAAGAAATCCGAGAAGTTTCGTGTCAGTAACTCGACAGTAAATTACAGTGTAAACTTTCCCGGCTAGACCTACAGATTACCCTGCTGTACCTTCTCCATAACACCTTCCATTGTGTTTAGTCACGTGACTATGATAATCCTCGTCTGGTTTGTGTCTGGTTTCTCATTGGTTCCTCAATCAGGGAACAATAGCCGTGTGTATGAAGTTTGTTAACAGCTGATCTGTTATCAGGCTTCACTGCCCATATTATGGTAGTGTCCTCCCTGCTTCATCATGTATAGTATGTAGTACCTAGGTGTGTAGTGTATATGTCATATCATACAAGATTTGAATCCATTGTAAAATACCTTAGTGCTTCATGGTGTTACTAAGTGTTAGTTGGAGATATGAAGAGTGAGTGAACGATCAGAATATCAGATAGCAGCAACCCATTCTGCCGTCAAATCTGCCTCTACAATGTGTTGAGAACCCTCTATAAACCCTCTCTAGATGTAAACGGTAATAAAAGGAAAAGAGTGGTGAAGTGTTGGCTGGGCCACTATTTCTAATCTTTTATAATATGATGACATGAAGAGGTGTTAAACTCATCAGTAGGGGACAGGGGGGTGGTGATGAGGCATCACCACCCCCACCATCATGGTGATGAGTAGTCAGGACCCTCCCCCACGTACGGTCCCTAGATCACCGATCATCACCTCACTATGTGCTAAATCACACTCATACATTTCAGCTTATCGGAGAGTCAAACTCCGTGACCTATAGATATAAACATCTTGTCATATTTTGATGTGTACAGATATAAGTTCTGTAAAATTATACAGTCAACATAATAATGTTATCAATAAAACTTGTACCATTTAAATGAATAGCCGTAATTTTAGACTCCTTGGCTCTACCCCACTGAACATGTTTTATATATAGCCTGTTTAGTGTTTACAGTGTACCTAAGTAGTTATTGGTGGATATTAGTGGTTATTAAGTTATTAGCTGGACCCCGCCCTCCTGCGCATATAAAATCTATTTAAAGAGTACATGACTCATGTCAAAAGCGACACTTTTGTACCTGGGTCATGCGGACGGAGTCTTGGACTGATTCCAGCAAGATGACAGTCCTCCTAGCTTCATCCTCTGCTTCTAAGTTGCATTGAATTAATAAGTACTAATTGAGCTTCATGTTCTTGGTTAAGTTGCACATCGTCAAAAATTCATCCCCAGACTATTTTGCGAGTTTAAAAATAGGCTATGTGTTATTGTATTTTAAGAGCTCTATATATTATATACTACATGTGTATTATATATACTCATAGCGAAATGATTGTACGTAAAGACGTTGCTATAACCGATCACCGAGACTTTTTGGAGGTTATCGAAGAATATAATATATATTGGGGGGGGTGTCACGTCCGTCTATGTCCGCTTGTCTCATAGAATCCAAAAAGGACAGGACATAGGCGGACATAGGCGGACATAGGCGGACATAGACGGACATAGGCGGACATAGGCGGACATAGACGGACATAGGCGGACATAGGCGGACATTAATGGACACCTAAATTGCTAAATAAAATGTTCAATTTTTGCCGTATAGGGGGATCATGTTTTTTGTCCGTTCGGTACCCTATATTTTCAAAACGGACAAAAAATAGAGCGGACAAAAACGGACAAAAATGGACAAAAACGGACAAAAATGGAAATAACATTTAGATGCTTCCTCCTCCTACTCTTCCTCCTCCTCCCCCTGGGTCTTCCTGATCTTCCTCAGTCCTCTGATCTTCCTCCTCCCCTCCTTCTTCCTCCTCCTACTCCTCTTCCTCGTCCTCAGTCCTCCTCTTCAGTCCTCAACAGTCCTTCTCCTCCCCAGTCCTCCTCCTCCTCCTGAGTCCTCCTCCTGGGTCCTCCTCCTGGGTCCTCCTCCTCCTCTTCATCCTCCTCCTCTTCCTCCTCAGTCCTCGGTCCTCCTCAGTCCTCCTCCTCATCCTTCTCCTCAGTCCTCCATCCTCCTCCTCAGTCCTCCCCCAGACCCCCTCCTCCTCCTCCTATTCAGTCCTCCTCCTCCTCCTCCTCCTTCTTAGTCCTCCTCAGTCCTCCTCCTCCTCCTATTCAGTCCTCCTCCTCCTCCTCCTCCTCCTCCTCCTCAGTTCTCCTCAGTCCTCCTTCTCATTTCTCCTAAGTCCTCCTCCTGAGTCCTCCTCCTGAGTCCTCCTCCTCTTCCTTCTGAGTCCTCCTCCTGAGTCCTCCTCCTCCTCCCTCTCAGTCATCCTCCTCAGTCATCCTCCTCAGCCATCCTCCCCAGCCATCCTCCTCAACCATCCTCCTCAGTACTCCTCAGTCCTCGTCCTTCTCAGTCATCGTCAGTCCTCCTCCTCAGTCCTCCTCAGTCCTCCTCAGTCCTCCTCCTCCTCCTGGGTCCTCCTCCTCCTCCTCCTGGGTCCTCCTGGGTCTTCCTGATCCTCCCCAGTCCTCTTCCTCCTCCCCTCCTCAGTCCTCCTCCTACTTTTCCTGGGTCCTCCTCCTGGGTCCTCCTCCTCCTGGGTCCTCCTCCTCCTGGGTCCTCCTTCTCCTCCTCAGTCCTCCTTCTCCTCCTCAGTCCTCCTCAGTCCTCCTCCTCAGTCCTCCTCCTCCTGGGTCCTCCTCCTCCTCTTCATCCTCCTCCTCTTCCTCCTCGGTCCTCAGTCCTCCTCCTCCTGGGTCCTCCTCCTCATCCTTCTCATCAGTCCTCCTCCTCCCCAGTCCTCTCCCAGTCCCCCTCCTTCTCCTCCTCCTATTCAGTCCTCCTCCTCCTCCTCCTCCTCCTCAGTTCTCCTCAGTCCTCCTTCTCATTTCTCCTAAGTCCTCCTCCTGAGTCCTCCTCAGTCCTCCTCCTCCTCCTGGGTCCTCCTCCTCATCCTCCTCCTGGGTCCTCCTGGGTCTTCCTGATCCTCCCCAGTCCTCTTCCTCCTCCCCTCCTCAGTCCTCCTCCTACTCCTCCTCGTCCTCAGTCCTCCTCATCAGTCCTCAACAGTTCTCCTCCTCCCCAGTCCTCCTCCTCCTCCTGGGGCCTTTTCCTGGGTCCTCCTCCTGGGTCCTCCTCCTCCTGGGTCCTCCTCCTCCTGGGTCCTCCTTCTCCTCCTCAGTCCTTCTCCTCCTCCTCCTCAGTCCTCTTCCTCTTCTTCCTCCTCCTCCTCCCTCTCAGTCATCCTCCTCAGCCATCCTCCTCAGCCATCCTCCTCAGTCCTCCTCCTTCTCAGTCCTCCTGAGTCCTCCTCCTCCTGAGTCATCCTCCTCAGTTCTCCTCCTCCTCCTCCTCCTCAGTACTCTTCAGTACTCTTCAGTATTCTTCAGTCCTCAAAATGTTTGTCCGCTAATGTCCACCAATGTCCATCCAAGTCCGCCAATGTCCGTCCGGGTCCGCCAATGTCCGTCCGAGTCCGCCAATGTCCGTCCGAGTCCGCCAATGTCCGTCCGAGTCCGCCAATGTCCGTCCGAGTCCGCCAATGTCCGTCCGTGTCCGCCAATGTCCCAAAAAACACGTCCGTTGTCTCATAGAATCCAAAAAGGACAGGACATAGGCGGACATAGACGGACATGACACCCCCCCCTATATTATTAGTTAATAATATAAGTAGTAGCAGTAGTAAAACTAGTAACTTAGTAGTAGTAGTAGTTAATAATATTACAAATATACGGCATACACGGATGTAGATATTAAATGGTAAATAATAATGAAAGATTAGTCACTCCAATGTGGTCGGACAGCTATAACAGCTGGAAATGCTAAAAGTTGATTCGTGGGTTTTGCTAAAAAACCTGTTTAGCCCATTTTTGTGGTTTTCACCAAAAAACATAAAATTCAAGATAAAAATGACAAAAAGTGTAAAATTTGACCAGTGAAGTCATCAGTCAGCTGTATTTTTGGCACAAATTTACAAATTTGACATGGAGTATTTAAATGCTAGTTAGCTAATATACCTAGTTCATGGTTCATATTCTACAACGTCACGGCTAAACATTCCACATATTTAACTGTCAGTTTGATACAGGAGGAACGGCGGCGGAGATTATGTGATTTGATCTCTGAAATTAACTAAAATTATACGGTGGTTGTGCAAGTGGGCTCCTGATCTAATCTCAAACTTTGGCCTTCTAGAATGTAATATTGTTAATCTAGAGTTTTATTCTGATGTAGCTAATATAATCTTACTGTAAAGTAAGTTATCTGGTGCTCTCTCTTGATGTCTCTCTGTTTGAACACTTCCTACCAATCTAGATATTATCTAACATCTTTAGATCTTTGTCATTGAACTATTGCAACACAGTTTAAGAGAGCAAGCTACGATTTAACCACTCCTTTAAGATCTGCAGCAATATGCAGAGCGTGAGAGACTGATACTCTGCAATGCTTTGCAGCGAAGTAATGTGGTTACATGTGCTTAGAGCGCTGTCCTCAACACACGTGCTGTCTATAATACACACGTGCATACTCACCCCAAATGTTGGCATGAGTCGTTACAGTCTAGTCTGGCAATTACTTGCTCTAATTTGGTATAATCTGTATCAGCGGTGTTCAATTATGCACACTGGAAATCATATAACTATTAGATTTGGAAGCCTGATTTCGGGTCTATAAAGCAAGGTGAAAGGTGAAGTACCTGAATTCCCTGCATTTTTGAGAGTTATGACCACATTACACATGTGTTCCAGTGCTAAGTGTGATTGTACACGTAGTTTATATAATAGTCACGTGATCTGACACGTGCTATCACGGTGCATTAAGTCATAGCTTAACAAGACAACATGCTATGTAGACTCGTTAACGAAATGTTTTCTTGAAAATACGTGAATTCTATAATGTGATGTTTTCAGTGTTGCAGCTATAGCACAGGTGTTATTAATATGTAAAGAGAGAAAATCAGCACTTTATTAGCTCTAGTTTCTTTGGAAATTTTACGTTTTTCAAATTATTTCATTTTGAAAAATTTTCGTGCTTAGTTTAAAATTAGCTGGCTCAATGACACTCAATTACAAAAATGTCCTCTTTCTTTTTGCATTGTGATACAAAAACATTGTAAAATTCATTTCACCTGGTAAGTACAAAATGTGCTCTCAGCAAAACCCAAACAATTAGCGTACCTGTTACATTTATGCTGTAAATTAGTGTTTTATTTAATAAAAGAGAAGTTTTTACAGTGTTCAGATGTTGTAATTCAGGGCTGCTGACACACATTCCTTCCTTCGTTACTCTATTTACATATTTCGGGTACATTATTACTAATGTAATGATATGTTAATTACATGTTTTTTATACACGTATCATACCTGTGCACTGCTTGACATTCGTTAGAAAATGTTATTATATAGCGCTGTGTACATCATGTATATTCTTAATTTGTACTTCTCGATTTCAATATAAAATTATAAACCACACTGGTAGCCAACTATGTTAATTAAGACTGTAATTAGAGCTATTATATAGATGTATATAGTTGATTATATTAGATAGCTATCTATATTATATCCGGATATGACCATGTTGGCAGTATTGTAGAACCACAAGACACATTCTAAGAATAGCGCTACTCTTACTGATAACAGAGATAAGAGACAGTAACAACACATCTCATTTTCTGCGACAATACCCTACTACTACTCTTCTGTGATTTGTGGTGTGTGGTATTTGCTAAAGAATGTGGCACTTTTTATGTTCAACCACCTGGTCACAGTGTGTATTGTGCAGCAAAATGAGTTCAAATACACCTGTTCAATAGAGATTGTTAAGCAGATTCAATACTGTATTGTATACGATAAAAAGTGTACGATACACAGATAAATATTCTTAACAGTGTATAGGCCTTTGTTAAGACAAATTGTATACATTCAATAAAAACCAATGCGTGCAATCGTAATGATCACAATTATATTGTTGATTTGTTGGATTGTTCTATTTTAAAGTGATTTAGTCAGGCTAGACAGGTAGTTGTAGAGATGAGGGTCCTAACGTTGATATGATTTGCAGAGCTTAGTTGTTGCGCAATTGCCAAGTTTGAGTGCCCGATGTTAGCTATTGTATCTCTGATATGATTGTTTTACAAGCCGTAACCTATTATTATCAGTGCATACGAGAAATGCTTTATAATTATAGTGTACAGTGTAAACTAAAAAGGAAGATATCATCCGCCATAGTCCATGCATTGCCGTATTTTCTATCAAGATAGAAATGATAAGACTAAAAACTAAACATTCAGTACACAGTATGTTGTTTATATCAAGGTTAACCACGACTAACACCTCAACTCTTAGTCTTGAGACACGCCTGGCACGTGACACGTCTGACACGTGACACGTTTCACTCAAAACGGAGATCCTGCCAAAATCTCCCTCAAACGCGGTCTAAATCTCCTTGTTTACCGAGACTAAACTTTAAAAACGGAGCATGTTAACTTTAGCTCCATCACATGATGAACACAACTTGTTTGACGTCCATGGTGTGCACAAATCAGCATAACTGTGCGGTATCTTGATATCGCAAACACTTTTCTCAGACACAAGTCTCCTCATACTTGATAAATATATATACATATCAAGGATTTAAATTCTTTATTTCTAGACTGATCTCAGAAATCTTGCATGATGTGAGGTGGAGTTCACTGTCAGGCCAATATCGAGTATTATAGAGTATAGACAGTGAGCCCGTCTATCTATAACTCTACCCGTAATTAATTACGTGCAATAAATTCTTTGTATCCGTCCGAATCACATGATAAAGTGACATTGAGCAATGTTGTGAGGTTGTGTGTGAAATACACGATGTGTACACAATATTACAACTGGATAACCCTGTTTACCTTGCGATAATTGAGAAAGTCTTCACCCCCAATTTAATGCCGTTATAAGGCATCGCAATGCACTTTGTAGTGATCCATAACTCGTCCATTACATACTGTACATTCTTTAAATGTTTTGATACCAGAAAAGGCGTGTCATCCTTAGTCCTTGGGCAAGACTAGAGACTCAGCAAGTGCTAATGCGCGATTACCATTCGAACATTGTAATCAATTGTACATTTTACTGACGTTTACAGTGCATGCCTGTTGGTTACACCTTTATGTTTTCAGGCTATCGAAAAGAATGCATTGCTCGAAAATGAAGTAGAAGACAAAGAAGGGTTGCAAGATATGGTACAAAGACTGAAGGACGAATCTCGAGGTGGCTATACAACTTATTCCTATTTTAAATGTCCATGTGAGGAAAAAATATTTCGCGAACATTAGAATTGCCATCGAACGAAAAATATTAAAATTTAGTGCAAACTTGCTGGAACGCGCGACATTGTTTGCGATGTACTAGCGTCACATTGTTTAAATGCGCGGCGCGCGACATTATTGCGCGCATATCCCGACGCGCGCGCATTATTAATTTAAATCTTTTAAACCCACCTTGATCGAGTGGGTTAGTGTCACCTGTAATCTATCGTAAGTTAGCCTAGCCTTACGGGGAGGGATTTGGAAAGGCGTATAATTTCCACAAAGTAGGTAACAATTGACCAGCTTACAAAGGAGGACGGGGCCTAAAATTGCCGAAAATCGGTTACATAATATGTGAACTATCGCCAACTTTGTCGGTTACCAATTCTTGTAACTCTTTGAGATAATTAGTTTATTCGAAAATCAACGTTCTATTTACTATTACGCCCTAGATTTGCACACGGAGCTGTCGACGATTCGTCGGAAGTCCTTCAACAAGAAACCATCAGATTTGGACTTGCAATCTGGAAGTCCCGGCCCCGAAAGTGCCCCAAACACTCCATCCAAGGAAGCCCCCATCCAGAATGGATTCGTTAACGGAATCCCTATTTCCTCATCAGGTAAGAAACCTTTCTATTTGTGTAGACTGTGTTTTACGCTGGTTTTGTGTGTTCACCACACTTTCATTTTTGAAGTGTTACATTTTCTTTTGTATTAAGAACATTTCTCTTCTGTTTAACCTTCGCTTTTGATGATCAAACGTGTGATTCTTACTCGTTTCAGCCAAAATATCAGCCCTAAACATAGTGGGAGATTTACTCAGAAAAGTTTCGGTAAGTGTGTTACTTTTAGGAACTACATAGTTTAGTGCAGTTAGCTTTTACTCCTTTCAGCCCGTTTAAAATCTTCAGCTAAACTTATAATGTGTGTTCCTATATTAACAACTGCGAATCCATTGCTAGGACGTTTTTGATCAATCAAAAACATGATCATGTTAGGAAGGTATACCAAAAAGTAAGTGCTATATCAAGTTTCTGGCTGGTATAAACTTGTTGTTAAGGCGCCCGCGAGCACTTAATCTCACTTGCCCCTGCTGGTTTATGACAACTTAATAGGTCTTGCAAAATCTAACTTGCTGCTGAACCACTGTAACCCTTATATTGAGAAGATGGAGAATACAGGTTTCTTATAATATATAGCATGTAACCTAGGAATTTAAAGCATCGCTCTCACAGCTTGACACTAAGCAGGCTTACCAGACAAAAGAACAGATCACAGACACAAACATTACAGACTGAATAGACCGGCTGGTACAAGCATTTGAACATTACCTTGCACCCTTATTCCTTAGGCATTCTTATGGGTACATCTGATAAATATTAAATACCTTTAATATGTTTAACCACACTTACACTTAACAGGTTTGGTTTTAGGTTCGGTTCGGCAGCTCCATTCATGTGAATTACGGAGAATTCTGGCGGCAATCGAACCTAACGTGCACTTAAGTTTAACAGTGGTAGCAATAAATAAATTAGCAACATGTCATTAGATTTAAAATCGTCTTATTGTCACACATTTCAGGCCTTGGAGACAAAACTAGCGTCCTGTAGGAACATAGTTCGCGAGCCGAGCATGGCAGCAGGTCAGACCCCTGTCCATCTGCGTCGCTCATCACTTCTTCTCAACAGCAGTAACTCCCCACGCGGCTTGAAACGGACAATGCAGCAGCCGCCCCCTGTCGAGATGGGAACAGTCCGCAGCGAGGTCCGGGTGGGGTCATCAAAATATCCGTGTGAAAAAAAAGAGCATTTATCATCCATTATATCATGTACCTACCATCAAACTTAAGCGTGAAGCGGATATCAAGCCAGAATTATTGTTATTTCAAGTTCAATAAAACACGCTTTGTTATGTTTTGTAAAAATATCTTGAAGAAAATTGTTATAAAGTATACGCTTTAGGTAAGTGTCAGGACAATTGGAGATAGGGGAAATGGGTGATGTTGGGTGGATCACAAAGTAAAGACTGAAACTAGCTGAAAACAGTCAGTCATCATAATAATTGTATCAACTTTTTAATAAGTTTGTGTATAACATGTAACGGTATATTAATTAACAGTGTTTGTATTGCACTGGTTATCTCTCACATTTGTTATTTGTAAGTGGTATTAATTTTTAATTTCAACTGAAATGAATGTACATGATGTATTTTGGGAGTTGATCAAGCGGAGGGCAGTATTAATAAGATAATTAGGAAAGTTGTTTTTTAATTTGTTTTGGCTGTCAGCTTTGCTTTTGAAATGGCTGTCTAAGTTCATAAACAAATCCAAAAAAAAATGACTGTGAAAACGAAATGCACTTGAAACTTGTTCATAAACAACGAGGCCTGTTATTTTTAAGTTAATTTTTAAGTGTTTGAAAATACTAGTATAAATTATTTATTTAATTTGTTTCAGTGTGTTAGTTGACTGTTCTTTTTCATAATAGCCTTGAATTATGTTTCACGCAACGTGTTAAATTTACGATACAATAAAGATTGAGATCTCTTTGGAACTCCTACACGGTTTTATTTTACCCGAAGTAAAATTAACGTACACTGCGTGCCCCACCCTTGCTCTGGCCATGCAATGTAGTTTTTTAAGATCGCTCGGCTAACATAAAACCGTTATCACACCCTTCAGTCTGGTTGAAATGATAACACGTTCAAATAATAGATTTGTGTTATTTATCTAACTTTGCTTTTCAATTATTACATCAAAGTAAAAGACGCAGTTTGAATCACTTTATTGAATGAGATCGATCCATAATACGATCATATATTATATACAGACAGAAAATTATACAGTCAGAAAGTTGAAGAAAAAACTTTGATAGAAATAACTGGATAATACAAAGTACACAATAAAAGAACATATTTTTCAACGATTTTTGTTCAAAAGTTCAAGTGTAAACTAGTTTGGTTCAGAATAAATAACAAAGATAATGCTCAGGCTTGATGTAATATTAACAAGGACGGATTCATCTAATAAAGGAAGAGATTGTTGAATCACAAAATTGAGACAAAAGTGTGTAAAGTAAGCTATTCAATTAAATTAAGGAAAATCAATCAACTCAGATGGTATATACAGTGATGTGCCATAAATATTATATAAATATCCATCAAATAATTTTAAATATCTGATAAATTCATATCATCAAAACTTTTCCAGCTCTCTGATCTCGCTAACATGATACACTTAATACTAGCAATGACAAACGCTGATGATGAAGTTATGCGGGCGTCACAATCGTCAAATTACTAATTTAAACAAATTTAAAGAAATTTATGACACTTTTTGATTATGATATTGGGATGATATCATACATCATATTATCAGTACATTTGCAATGCGGTATAAAATCGCTCCTACTAAATCGCTCGCCCAAATTTTAAGAAAATTCTTGTGAAAAGGCCCGTTGGGCATGAAAGTGATTGGAATCGGTGTATTTTTGGACGCTGATTCCGAATCATCCCCCATGACATAAGGGTTTATGTAAAACCGTTTTGTACGGCTGCAAAACCATAAAAACCAAAGTCACGTGAAATTTTTGGGCGAGCGAATTAGTAAGAGCCGTATAAAATACAAAATACGATCGCGCGCATTTAGCCAAGTAATTTTATAGTCACGTGACATAATAAGTTGCATATATCTACTTGCTACCAACAGTTCACGTCATCGCGCTCCACGTTTACGCGTTCCAGGTCTTCTCTTAAGTGCGACCGAATTGGGGTTCATGATATTAATTACACCGATTCTACTGATACAGTTTTAATTGGTCTTGTAGCGCTTCAAGGCTAGTTGACAGATCATCGTTTCTCTCCATTAACGAATATATCTGTTCCAGCTGACGACGTTGAATCCTGAAACGATCCTATCGTTAATCGAGTGATAGTCATTAGTCAGTTATTTCAAATAAGATTAATCATGCTCTTAACTGCTTTATCTCATCTTGGCTGATTAGCAAGAGACACAAAATACATCAAAATAAAAGTATCAGCGACAATTCATACTGAATAAAACGATGCACAGTAGTAATGTCGTAATGTTGCAATTTGAACCCAAAAGTTAAAGTCGACCAGACTTAAGGCATCTTTTGCAATGTCAGACATCAATGAATGTGCTTTTAAAATGTCGACCTTACTGTGTACAAACATTCAAAATTAAATCTAGACCTAAACTTACAAAATGTCTATCTGGCAATTTTTCATCGTTCATGTAAAACTCTTGAATTTTCGGGACGAGCTTTTCCAAGTAGTAAAGTTGCAGCATTCCTATGTTATCTTGCCAGATAGTATCTTGTGATATCCGGATACAAAGCATGACTCGTGGAGTCCAAACTACAAAATCACAAAACTTTCTGTTCGTTAGATACAAGTTCCCCTGAAGTTGGTGATAATATTTGTGCGACGTGCTAAGCTCAAATTTATTCTGCTCATTCTTTTTCAAGTATCCCAACTGATCCAATTCCGTTACATCTGCGGCATCTCTCATCTTAAAAGGGCACTTAATCTCGATTATTCCATCGCTTCCAACTAGTCCATCTGGAGATCCACCTATAAATCCACAGGTGTCCAGAAAAATACCACATTTAAAAACTTTCAGTCCAAATTGTTGTTCATACTCCTTTATAGCAACAGACTCATTGTCAACTCCGTACATTATCGCAGGAAGATGTGATATATCTTTAGTCTTGAGCAAATAATTAAGAAACGATTTGCTGGGTTCAACGTTACGTCTTGCTAAAGATATAGCAGCACCAAAGTTGCTGGAGGTTACGCGTCCAGTGCGCAGCGAGTGCCACAGCATGCTCTTGGCTTGATCCCGCGTAAAGCGCTCAATGACAGCTATTTGGGAGGGTAGCAGGATGCAGCGCTGTAGAAATATGTGACGACTTGTGCAGCTGGGATCTTGTACTAGTTGCTCTATGTAGACTAGACTCGATAATCTGGTAGGAGTGTTAGTTGATCGAATCCGCTTATGTGTTATTAATATTTACAGTCAGACATATTAATGACAATTTTTCAATGAACTATTAGGCATATTGTAGATGAGTAAGACTTTTAATGAACTATCAAATTACACAAACTTAACTAGGGGTCGTTCACATATTACGTAATCATTTTTTGGAACATTTTTACCCCCCCCCCCCCTCCGTAATAAGTTTTACACATTATAGCTACTAGCAGGAACCCGTCTAACCCTAAAGTGGTGTCAAGACTCAAGAGACTAAAACAATTATTACCTATTTAATTCGTGTTTTTGACACCACTTGGGGTACCAAATTTTGGGCTCTAAAACTCCTATTTCTTGGCCAATTTTTTATTTTTTCATGCTGATTTGGAGGCCATTGAAGCATTTGACCCAGTCAAAAAAGTTTCAGTTGTATATCTTTTACGATTTTTGCAGAAATTCGCGTTAAAGTTGATGCCGTGGTGTCAGTAAAATGGCACGGATAAATAAATATATATATATTTCATGGCTGGACTTCTACACAATAAAAGAAAGCGGTTGTGATTAGATCTTCGAAAGTCTTTGCATCGTTTATTTACATCAACTCTGAGAAATTATATCATTAAAGTAACTACAACAAATACGAATCATATACAATTGAGAATAAATACAAACTAAAAGCAGTGGGAAAATCTGATGAACTGAAATTTAAAAAAGAAACTGAAAGCCGTTAAAAATGTACTCTTATCTTATCTCTTATCTAAATACTGATAACTGATTCTCGGAAAATCACTTAAAATCACAACAAAAACCTGTAAAATTTATACTTAAGTAAAAAATGTAATATGCACGTCTCTGGAATAATGGTATAACTAAATAAAATCTACAAAATATACTAAAACTAAAACTAAGCTCCGGCAGATTTAAAAAGTAGATGGTTACTATCAAGGGTGTTCATACCCCAAACCGTTCAAGGGTTTTCAATTGGGTCTGGTAGAACCCCTCTCTAGCTTCCATAGCCTTTTCTTTGTCTGCTTTACTAATATTAGGCTCAAATACTAAAGTGTCTACTATAATGACAGAAAGGTGCTTACTAAGTGAGGAATTATAGCAGGCTATGGTACTAAAATCTAAATCATGATCAATATCTAAAAAATGGTTAACTAATTTACAACTTCTTATACCTTTCTTTATGTGACTCTTATGGTTAGAGAATCTCTTAGGGAGATTTGAGGTAGTATAACCGACATACGACTGTTTACAAGTCTTACACTCCATTAAATAAATGAGGTTATAACTCTGACAAGATATATATTTAGTTATAGGGAAAACTTGTTTAGAATGGTGACTACTAAAATTGGAACAGGGGGACATAGTAAGGGGAAAAGTGGTCGATTTAAGGGTTCCGTTGGATTTGAATGTTCACAAGGATTTCTCAACGGAATATGGTAGTTAGGACCCCTACGAACATAATTAGACTTGTTGCCAATTTTGTATCTCAACAGAAACACCACTTTTACCACTTTTTACCACCTTTGTACCACTTTTCTGGTTTGCCAAATATCTTTAGTTGTGAACGTCGTAGAAGGCTGCAAATTAACCTAGAATGTTTATCTTATCAAGGAGTAAAACTTTTGTATCAAAAATTTTTACATTGGACAATCAGCTAATTGGATAATTACCAATTAGTTAATCACCAAAAAAAGTGAAAATTTTTTATTGGCTCAAAATGATCGAAATCGTTTGAAACACGGAGAAATGTAGTTTTTAGAAAAACTTCAAAAATTTTTCACTTAAAATTTTTTTTCGAGACTTCAAAAAAAAAAGTTTGAAAATTTGAAAATATTTTTTTCCGCCAAAAGTGATCGAATTGCATGAAACGTGGATAAAAATGCCTTGCAGAAAAATTTCGAAGATTTTTAGATTGAGGAATACTAAAATCATCAATATTTGAAGTTGGAGTACAGTAAATCTCGACATATTTTAGTAATTAGGAATAGCTTAGCGGAAAGGGCTGGACCTGAAAAAGGTTAACCACACAATATTAGAGTTTCGTAACTAATTACAATACAGCTTTATCAAATTCCACATAAAGAAACAGCACAAAAGGACCATTTAAGATCGAACCGATTTTACCTGCTGTACTATCATTTTATTGATTTCAATGATCAAAACCTCTGTCAATTTTGCCAATCTATACCGGGTATCTGAATGTACCGGACCTCTTATTTACCTCTATAATTAGACCCAGTTGTGCAAGAAATGCGATTTCTCACAGGGGTTTCTTTAAACTGTGCACTTTTTATCACTCTCGCAACTCGCAAGAGGCCTGGTATTATAGGGGGGGTATAGGAAGCGAGTGTAAATATACCTTCCATCATCCATTGTGGCTTTTTTGTATTGTGAATGCGCATGCCGCTTCGTTTGCTATGCCATATACCTCGAATAACCCCCATATGTCATTGCCAGGGTCGGGATAGAGCTGGAGATAGCATTGAAAAGTTGCTAGAAATAGCTAGATTTAGAGTAAACTGGTGGTAGCTGGGTGGTGCTAGCATGGATGTAGCAGAACGTAGCTACACGGGGTTTCATTGGAGTTGGTTATTTTAATGGCCAAAGAGTGCCGGAACTAAAGTTACTTAAGATTGCAGTTTAGGGGCAGTGTAAACCACGGTGTAGTCAGGGACACAGAGCTACAGTGCAGGAGTACTGCAATAGAACAGTGCAAGTGATACAGTCTGCAACAGTAAAACGCCGACGAAGCTAGACTTAGAGTGAACTGATGGAAGCTGGGTGGTGCTAAAATGGAGGTAGCAGAACGTACTACATGATGAAAACAGGAAAACTAAGGCTGGTTGAGACCTTAAAAGATGTGAATCTGTCCTGATAGATCCAGTGAAGAGCGAGTAGCGAAGAGTTTGATCACTAACCTAAAGCTCTAAAGAAGAAGAGGGCTAAAGAGACTCACTTTGATCAATAAATCCGGTACGGCAAGGTCTGTAGCCTTGATAAGAAGATACCATGAAGTAATTCATGCAGAAAAGTCGATTCATATAAAAGGTTTCGTTGGATCTAAAAAGGGTGGGTCAGTCTCTCTGTTTTCATAAGATTCTGATGAAATGCTGTTAAGCTCAGGACGGTGATCTTAATAGGTCGGATAGCTGTATCTGGTTGCTTCCAGCCCACCCTTGTCGCTTGAAAATAAGTTCTCACCCCACCTCTTCCCAAAATACAGTTACCAGAGCAGGAAACTCTTCTTCCTCCTCTTCTTTCAACACAAACACAATCAGGTTCCAGCTACTCTCCTCCTCTGCAGCCACAATCTTATCTCCTTCTTCGGAGTTTTACTGTTGCAGACTGTATCACTTGCACTGTTCTATTGCAGTACTCCTGCACTGTAGCTCTGTGTCCCTGACTACACCGTGGTTTACACTGCCCCTAAACTGCAATCTTAAGTAACTTTAGTTCCGGCACTCTTTGGCCATTAAAATAACCAACTCCAATGAAACCCCGTGTAGCTACGTTCTGCTACATCCATGCTAGCACCACCCAGCTACCACCAGTTTACTCTAAATCTAGCTATTTCTAGCAACTTTTCAATGCTATCTCCAGCTCTATCCCGACCCTGGCAATGACATATGGGGGTTATTCGAGGTATATGGCATAGCAAACGAAGCGGCATGCGCATTCACAATACAAAAAAGCCACAATGGATGATGGAAGGTATATTTACACTCGCTTCCTATACCCCCCCCCCTCCTATAATACCAGGCCTCTTGCGAGTTGCGAGAGTGACAAAAAGTGCACAGTTTAAAGAAACCCCTGTGAGAAATCGCATTTCTTGCACAACTGGGTCTAATTATAGAGGTAAATAAGAGGTCCGGTACATTCAGATACCCGGTATAGATTGGCAAGATTGACAGAGGTTTTGATCATTGAAATCAATAAAATGATAGTACAGCAGGTAAAATCGGTTCGATCTTAAATGGTCCTTTTGTGCTGTTTCTTTATGTGGAATTTGATAAAGCTGTATTGTAATTAGTTATGAAACTCTAATATTGTGTGGTTAACCTTTTTCAGGTCCAGCCCTTTCCGCTAAACTATTCCTAATTACTAAAATATGTCGAGATTTACTGAACTCCAACTTCAAATATTGATGATTTTAGTATTCCCCAATCTAAAAATCTTCGAAGTTTTTCTGCAAAGCATTTTTATCCACGTTTCATGCAATTCGATCACTTTTGGCGGAAAAAATATTTTCAAATTTTCAAACTTTTTTTTCAAGTCTCGAAAAAAAATTTTAAGTGAAAAATTTTTGAAGTTTTTCTAAAAACTACATTTCTCCGTGTTTCAAACGATTTCAATCATTTTAAGCCAATAAAAAATTTTCACTTTTTTTTGGTGATTAACTAATTGGTAATTATCCAATTAGCTGATTGTCCGATGTAAAAACTTTTGATACAAAAGTTTTACTCCTTGATAAGATAAACATTCTAGGTTATATTGCAGCCTTCTATGATGTTCACAACTAAAGATATTTGGCAAACCAGAAAGGTGGTACAAAGGTGGTAAAAAGTGGTAAAAGTGGTGTTTCCGTTGAGATACAAAATTGGCAACAAGTCTAATTATGTTCGTAGGGGTCCTAACTACCATATTCCGTTGAGAAATCCTTGTGAACATTCGAATCCAACGGAATGCCACTTTTCCCCTTACTAACAGGAAATTTTGCTTACAAACATAACATTTACCACAAGCATGGCACCCTGGGTCGACAGCCCCGGGAACCGCCCTTAGACTTTCGGAGTCTGGTTCCTGGATCTGGCTTGCAGTTGTTTCTCTCTCATTATCACAGTTTAAAGTTCCACTGGCACGGTACTTATTGTGTACAAGCATGCCACCGATAGTTTGATTCTTTCGATGACTCACGAATACACTGTCCGCACGTACCAGCTTCTTCAGGGCCGGATCAAGGTTGAGAAGGTGCTTATACTTATGGATAATGCCTCCCATGTTGGGAAGTGCTGGATTTTGATCCATCACCATGGGTATTAAACAGGCAGTCGACTCATCCTTGTCTTTAAGGGTATACAAGTTTTTCCTATTAGCTATATCACTAAATTTGTTAAAGGCATCTTCTATAATACTGGAATGATAACCTCGGGCTAGAAGGTAACGTGTATAGACCTCTCTCTGCTCCAAGAAGTTAGTGTCTTCACTGTTGTTCTGTCTCACCCGCCTCGCCACTCCAAAAGGTATGTTTTTTACAACATGGTTCCTATGGCATGACGTGGGGATAAGGTAGCAGTGGGTGTCACTAGGTTTAGAGTAGAGTTTGGTGTGGACAACATCACCAACAGCATAGACATAGGTGTCTAGAAACTCAACGCCGTCCCTAGAGTAGTCGTAAGTAAACAAAAGGTTTGGGTGGATACTATTGAGCCATTCCATGAATTGTAATAATTTCTCAGCAGTACCGGGCCAAGCCATATAAATGTCATCACGTAATCTACCCCAGAATGCTGGTCTATGAGGCGGGCCATATTCTAGATCTCCTTCGTTAACTAAAATATCAATCTTATCCATAGCACAATCAGCATACTCACATGAGTTCTTAGGACCCATCGCTGCTCCACGCTCCTGGCGGTATGTTATACCGTTAAATGAAGCAATGTTGTAATCAAGAGTAATTTCTAGTGCACTAATAATGCATTCTGTACTAAACAATTGATCACCACTACTCCTTTTATTCAGGTGTTTAGTGCATTGTTGGATCCCCATATCCCTAGGAATGTTGGTAAACATGTTAGATAATATATCGATGGCAACATGTATAACCTCCTTTCCCAACAATATGCTAGACTCGTTCAGGCTATCAATCTTCCTCAGAAAGTGAGGGGTGTCAATAATTCTATAATTCAAAGTAGCCTTCTTCAATTCATACGCAGTCAAGGCAGAAAGGTTTTCAATGTATGAACCACAGCCGATGGTAATCATCCTCCCAGGATACAAAGGTGGTTTGTGTGCCTTGGGATTCAGGTACATGTTTCCAGGCTGGTTAAGCTCAGTACATGGAATAACCCACTCCTTGACCTTCTTGGACATACCTAATTCATCTTTAAACTCAATTGTCCAATTCGAAATTTTATCAATCAATTCTACAACTAAATCATCTACATTATTTACAATACTATATACAGATCTATCATTTAAATGTACACCTATTCGTTGAATATAATCTTCTTCACTAAGAAGGAAGAATCCTACTCCTTTATCGAATGGTCTGATTACAATGTCTTTCCATATATATATATAGTATTTAGATAAGAGATAAGATAAGAGTACATTTTTAACGGCTTTCAGTTTCTTTTTTAAATTTCAGTTCATCAGATTTTCCCACTGCTTTTAGTTTGTATTTATTCTCAATTGTATATGATTCGTATTTGTTGTAGTTACTTTAATGATATAATTTCTCAGAATTGATGTAAATAAATGATGCAAAGACTTTCGACGATCTAATCACAACCGCTTTCTTTTATTGTGTAGAAGTCCAGCCATGAAATATATATATATATCGTCTCGCTTTATATATATAGTAAGATTGTGTCAAAATTACACTAGCGTTATAATTCGGAACCCCCCCCCCCCCCCTCAGCTGATTACGTAATATGTGAACGACCCCCTATATAAAATCATAACAAATCATTGTCCATCATAAGATGTTAAAAATTGACTTCTAAATGAAAAATGTAAAAGCCGAAACAAACTAGCATTTCAAAAAGGCGAACATTAAATTAAAAAACTGATAATTGTAGCAAATTATAAACATTTTCCGACCTCTAAGTATAATATTGTTAAGAATTAAAATTTTAAAATTTTAAAATGAGGGCATAAAGCCTAAACAAACTTTTGATAAAGAGAAAGCATTAACATTTAATAAGAAACATTTACTGAAGTTATCGACGAACACTGAACATAATATAATCGTACAAAATAAGCATTTGCTGCTATAAAATTGTGATGTTTGTTATTTTCATGAACAAAAAGTTTGAAAACTTTCAAAGTTAGAATTGAGTTTACTTTATACTCACATATTTTCCTCTTCCGGCGTTACCTCTTCAGCAGGCTTTGCCCCCAACAGCGTATCAATTGTTTCAATTTCTTCAAACTGCAATTATTACTTGGATGTATCTTACGAAAAATATGTTATGAATTATAGGGGTGGACTCTGGTGGGGAGGTGAAGCATATTTGTTTACTTTAAAGATGATTACGTGTTCGATAGATTTCAATGGTGAATGGTGATGCACATTTTAAGTCAATGACATTCCTGACATTCCATGTGCTCATGCGGGGGGGGGGGCATGATTTATGATTATAATAGTATTTCAGTATCGTTCGTTTTGTGAACTTTGAATATTAACTTTCAGAAAACTAACAAAGAAATAACTGGGTACAGTACCGTAACGAGATCTACATCCTTCTGCCTCTTGCTAAAGATTCTGTCTGGTTTCGTTATCTTTTCCTTTTGATCGTTCAAGAAGAAGTAGATTATTGTCGTCAGGATTGCTAGAGCTGGGAAAGAGTGTGTTACAGATTATTACTTTATCGCAGGGTCATGTGATGAATAAGGGGTCGTTCACATATTAAGTAATTAGCCGAGGGGATGGGGGGGGGGGGGGGGGGGGAGGGGGTAATATGTGAAGTTTACATATTACGTAATCAGCCGAGGGGATGGGGGGGGGGGGAGGGGGTAATATGTGAAGTTTACATATTACGTAATCAGCCGAGGGGAATGGGGGGGGGGGAGGGTAATATGTGAACGACCCTTATATTAAGTAGATTGGTGAAGAAAAACCGTCAACATACAACGAAAGTCGACAGACAATAGTTTACTGAACAGAAATATAGGATGGCAACATTGAAAAAAGTAAAATAAAAATAATAAGTCAATATTGAAGTTACCTGTAAACATAATACAGAGGGTCTCTATAGGTAAGTCTTTGAAGTGTTGTAGGGGCAGAAAAATCGAGATACCCAACGCCATGACTTTATCTATAGGATCTATATTTTAATAATGAGCAATTTTTCATGGAAAAATCCATCCGATATAAATGAATTAAGAGGATCTATTCGTATAATACATAAAACAATATTAAACAATACCTTTAATTGTCAATAAATAATTGATATCATGATTATAGAGCACACAATTAATCCCAGGATCAAAATAATTAAAAGAATATCAAACATCTAAAATCAGCTCATGCATAAAATCAAATCTTTAAGATACATAAATTATTATTTCACCCCTCTTTTATATTGTAATTTGTAAAATAAGTTAAAACAGTTTAGTACATAATTTAGGTCATGCTTCGGTAAAATTAATCTTTTTAAATAATGCATCAGAAAAAAACAATTTAAACTATATAAAAATATACCCACGATCTGATATTGCGCATAAAAAATATAAACCTGGTACACACTGTTTATACATACTAACAATCACACTGCCATAATCAACTTATACTCTCAGAATATTGCACATTTATAATATGTCCTGAACAAAGACGTTGCAAAAACTAAATTTAAATTACAGTTCTAGTTATTTGCTGAGGAAGTACCGTCACTTTTACAGAACTTCATGTGATGTTTCAACCCACCCTGCTGAGTGAACCTTCTCTGACACTGAACACACTGGTGGGGTTTCAACGCATCAGAGGCTTCTTTACTAAGAACAATATCATGTTTATCTTTCAGATGGCAAACAAGATCGCCATGCTCACATGTTTTGAACAAACAAAAAGTGCAGTGATATTCCTTTCTATGACAAATCTTATTGTGCTTGTTTATCTCTGTTTTACTTGTAGTTTTGAATGAGCAAACAATGCACTCCCGCATATGTACAACGAGATGTTCTGTAAGAGAATTCTTATCCACAAACTTTAGCTTGCAGTTCCTGCATTGAAAAGGTCTTGCGTCAGTGTGATTTCTTCGAACATGTGTGCTTAATACCGTGGATGTCATAGCACTGTACTCACAGAGGTCACATGAAAATGGACGCTCTCCTGTGTGGGTCCGTTGGTGTCGAACTAAACAATTTTTAAAGGAATATGTCTTTTTGCAAACCTTACAAACGAACCGACTCACTTCAGAATGTTTACTCATCTGATGGTTCGTCATTGACTTCTTATATCGGGTTGTGAAGTCACATTCTTCACATGACAGAGTTTCTGTGTGATAGTGCTTGTGCTGTTTGTGCTTGCTTAACACTGCAAAACTATTAGACGTGAAGTCACACTGAGAACAAGAAAATACCTCACTTCCATCTGAATGGTAAAACCGTTTGTGGTCTTTCAGATTACCTTTGTAGTGGAAAATCTTGCAACACTCCGAACAGGGGTACAACTGTGAACTGTGTTGTGTTTTGTAGTGATTTCTTAATCGGTAGATGGACTTTGATTTGAAATCACACCTGGTGCATTCACGTGAATAATTTATCTTATTTCGGATTGGATATAAACGTTTGACAGTGCCTTTAGTTATTGAGTCTTCTTCATCGCCTGAGCTATTTCTAGGTGAATCAGTTCCCGTGGATTGAACAGACGTTTCCAGCTCAATGTCATCTCTCTGGTCAGATAATAGCAGATCACAAGGTTCATCCTTGTCAATCCTTTCCATTTTAATATCCTCCTTTATATCAAGACAAGGCACCAACTCTGCTGTTTGGAACACATTTTCTTCCTCTTCCTCTTCGTCTTCTTCCTTTACATCCATAGATTGAGCAACACATTCCATTCCTAATGAAAATAACGAATTTAGATTATAGATCTATATCATGATATTTTGTGAATAGTAAAGAAAAAATAGCTCATTTCCTTTCACAAGCTTTGTCCAGAATGATTTTAAGCATTTTCTGATTGATATATTGAGTGAGGAGTATTGAGTGAGGAGTATTGACGAGGGTAGGATGCATCAAATTTAAAATCAACATAAAAAATTTACACATTCGTGATATTTTTGTCAGAATATATAAAATTATTAAAAGCACTAAATTGAATAAAGACTTAAAATCCCAAATTCTTCAATCATTTAACTCAAATTTGGTAACAAGTCTCAGTCCAAAATCATTGATAAATTAAATAAAAAACATCAAATTTTAAAAATACCGTCAATTATACGATTTATAAACAAAGTTCCTAAGACAAGATTGGAAATCGTAGTAGGACCTGGGAGAAATTTTGCTCAGTAATTGTTTAAAACGATTAATTTTCGGCCTTACTATTTGGAACGGTTTTGTCAAAAGTCCTTCTACAAGATTGATGGGGCTGAGTAACTAAAATAGTCGACTTGATCTCCTCAGCCAGATCAGCAGGAGCGGAATTACGATTTATAACTGCATTCTTCATCACAATCTCTACCCCGACACTGACAAGACAGGAAGCATCTCGTTTGGCTATTAAAGTGTCCATTAACCGCCCAAAACAGCACGAAGGCAGCGCTTTTACAAAACAAGTCCGAACTGAGTTACATAAAACACGTTTTACTTCGGTGCTGTGAAACTTTTTGGCGAGCGAGGAATCAGTTTGTGATATTTTGGAAACAATTTTCTCGACTACAACATCATACTTGTTGATAGAGGAAAAAAGAAGGAGGATTTCGTGGATGATGAAGTATTGTTCTTTGAGTTTTAGCGATTCTAAGAGGAGTATAATGTTCTTGACGAGAAGGACGCTACATTTGTCGAGAACTTGGTTTCCACAAGTTATGTCGTGTTTGTCGTTCATCAACGACAGTTGCCCTGAAAAGGTACAGCATGCTTAATCTGAAAACTGCTAAAGTGCTAAGGGACGAAGTTAAATTCAAAACGGGAATAAAAGCTAACAGTCGGCGTTAAATTTCACGTGATAAAAACTCATGGCTGAGTAGTCACGTGACAGAATGACTTGTACCACAGCACAGAACACATTAACTACTACACTGTAGACTCGTACAGTACAGTAAACCACAGTAAGTTATCATATGTACTATGTACTAATGTACTAATGTACTATGTAGTAATGTACTAATGTACTAATGCACTAATATACTATACACTATGTACTAATGTACTACTCTCACCAGTATGTATGAGGTGTAGAGCGTACAAGTAGTGAGTAGTGTCGTGATCAGATGAGACAGAGAGAATGAGCCGCGCAGCGTTCTCTATCACCGACCACTGCTCGTCTAACTGCTCCTGTGTGTGGAGACGCACTGTCTTGTATCGTGGTGTGATGCCTACAATTAAACAAGGTAACACTGGATATTGAGGGTAGGTTATCGAGTTTACCATGGAAATACTGAGTCATGCAGACCCTCCCCCCCCCCCCCCCCCCGGCCCCAGCAATGTTTAAACACTTACGAAGGAGAAACTGCCATATCTGGGCTCTGTTGTTGAGTTTATTTGAGGGTGTAACTAACAAATAGTGCTTTATTTTATCCAAGTCAATCTCGTCCGCGTGGATGTCCAGGATTTCCGTCTTCCGAGATTGAATTCCTTAGGTTTAAAATGTTGTCATAATATAATGTAAGACAGAAACAGTGAAGCAAGTTATAACATGAGCCAAACCTAAAACTACAGCCTGGTTTAGACTAATGATATGTTTAACATGACTCACCTTAACCATGACTCACCTAAACTTGTTAAATACGTCGCTCGATAATCCTTCTCTGACATGATGTCTGACCAATTACTACTTCCTAATCAAGTGGAGATGTTTTAGACTGTGATATTTTGGTTTAGTGAGGTCAACAAATTAATTGAATCAATCAATTAATTGAAAACAGCGTAATTCAATAGCTAGTTTAAAAGCAAGGACTTTATAAAACTAGAAAAGAAAAATTTTACAGGGACTTTGAGAAAAAGGTGAAATCCATCCGAATGTAAGCGTTGAACAATTATCAATGAATATTTATAATGTACATTTGAGTAGTATGAAATCTAAATACGTCAAATGTATGAATATCTAACATTATAACAATAACATGATTATAACGTTCACAGCACCCTATCATACTATGAGGATGAGAGAGCATTGAGCAAGTGCCTTCAACAAGCTCTGAACATTGGCAATTCGATGAAATGAAGAATTTATTTTGATTATATACTAACAATCTAACCAGCATTATAATCATTAAAACGGTTTACCTGACACTCAATTGCTCATAAAATGAAATTGTATCTCACAAATCAAATATAGTAAGATAGTGTAAAATAGGCCGACAGAATGCTCCAATTCATTCTTTAAAACAGATAGTCAATAAACACGAGAGCTTCTCTAGTTTTCTGGGTAAATTTACAAAATAATCAATCAATTATTACTCAACCTAACAATCTAAAACTAATTATTCCATCGATAATCTTGGATACTGGTGAATAAACAAAATGTATCAAACTCACAAGTTCAGCACAAAAACTGATATTCTAATCACGTGACATGCTCTACTCATGTACATTGTCTCTGTTAATGTCTCTGCTAGTAAAACACCATGTTTCTAGAACTGTGACACCTTATAGCTCCATGTTGTACTTCTTGTGCTTCTCTGTCTTCTTGAATATCGCAGGCTTGTGGTCTTCTAAATCAAACTCATCGTGCCCCTCCCTGTAGAAATGTAATGGTAACGTTCATGCATTGGTTTCAGTGATAAAATGTTATACAATTAATAAGCCAGCACTGTGATCAATTGACCAGTTGCTGGATTTAAGGGGTAACCAACTCACTTGAAGCATCGTTTGCAGTACAGATCATTGTCGCACTCAGAACAGCGCACCTCAGCATCCTCATTGCACACACAGCACCAGGGTAACTCCTCCTCCACCTCCTCTCCGGGTAACTTCTTCTCTTCCTCTTCTGGGAATTAACATTGGAAACTTGCCAAAATTACATAAAGTTATATGTATAATAAAGGTGCAGGTCAACTAATAAGCAATAGAAAGTAACTATTCAGATGTGTAGGTCTTGAGAGCATGACGATTAGTTGGTTATTATCACATCATCATTATTCAATATTCATTGTAGATAACTGATGTTATTGATTGGAAGCAGAAGTTCAGTTTCTAAGAATCACCAGCACAGCTTGAAGCTAAGAAATGTAACTTCTTACAAGCTCAGGAGTTCATCTTACCGGGTGACTTAAACTCAACTCCGGCTCTAAAATCTATCTTTGCCTCCTCCTCCGTCATTTTAATGAGATATTCAACCTGCTCCTCTTCAGTAAGATGTGATAGGTCTCGTAGTTCATCTTGTAGTCCATCTTTCGATTTTTTGCTTGAAGTGTGCATTGCTGAGAAATATGGCTCAATTAAAATCTCACCTCATATCATTTATCAATTGTCAGGGACCATTCTGTCCAAAAAGATAACTATTTCACGGTAAACTTCAACACGGATTATACTATATTATTATGATATACATGTACATTAAGTAAATTGAGCACATTTAAGTACATTTGAGTACATTGTATGTATATATACAATATACATTATACAGACAATGTACTCAAAATAGTAATGTCAACATCGAATATTGAGATAAGTAGAAAATAATGTACACACATTATACAGTTAAAATGTTACCTATCAACTCAGAAGTGCCGTATTTGAGAGCTCTTGCTCGTTCCTCTAGGTCCTCAACGCCAGTGGACATGGTCCTACTACCAGAGGGACCAATTTGGGAATCTATTTTGAATTCATCATCAACTTGAGTCACCAAATCGTCAACCTTAAAGCAAGATACATTTTAATTATACCAGCTCTGGTTTAACTGATTGCTTAAAGTGTAGATTGCGCAGTTCAGAGGATTATCCATCATGGAAGTCTTTAAAATTATAAGATGTTAAGCCTACCTGGTCAGATATGGGTTTAATGTTGACATAGAGTTGTATGACAGGTTCCTGCACTGGGGGTGGACGTCCAACCATTTTGTTCAGTTTGGACTGAAGTTCATATTCTGTTGGTCGTTTGCCTAGGACTTTCTTTCCTGGTTCACTTTCTAAACAGTTTTTTAGTCAAAATATATCAATACTAACAAGAAATATTGTTTCGATTACATTTTCTTTTCATGGATTTGGTCATATGGGAACATCATAAACTGAAGCAAAACAATTGGCATCAAGAAAGATGTTGTCTGTATACTTACTTTTCAAAGCATCCAATCTCAACTGAATGTCAGCATCTGTAATCTGTTTTTTTAATGGTGGTCTCTTTTTTGCTGGACCAGGTGGATCTGGTAAAATATAGTGATATCAGACAAGCAATGCTTGCACACTACAATGATTCATAGAGTTGTTAATGCGCTTTTTGTCATGGATGTATACTTACACTCAATTCAAATCATTCGTAATACAAATAAAAAGCTATTCACTATGTTAATGCTTTAAAGTGCCCAAACAGAAACTTATGCAATAAACTGTAGATATTAAAATTCTTAAGTCATATTTTATTTAGATAAATTACCCTCAAGTTTCTGGAGAAACTTAGGAGGATCCAATATTATAGGTGCCACTTTTGACTCTCTTTCCCTTTTACATTCAAGACAAACTTTAACCTTGGCTGAACTTGTGTCATCAACAGTTGATTCAACAGTACACTTGCCACAAATTGAATGCTTACACATTGAACAACAGTTCTGAAAAAATTTTATTCATATAAATAAGAACCAAAAGATCGTTATGAACTAACACATAGTGAGAAGTCTACTTTTACATGGCTTAAAGTGAATCTTAAAGTTTGAAGGATTTATCTTTTAATTCGAAGACATATCAACTGAACTCCACAAACCTCTCTGTTAAAAAGAGTAAATTTTCCTGAGCAAACAAAACATCGCCCATCCATGATTTCTTCTTTTTTAGACACGCTATCGGATTTTTCTTATATTCATTCTGGTGAAATAAAACTCCAATTTATATCAAAGTCTGGGAACATTATCAACTCACTGTCATCTAGATTATGATTCAAAAGTTTCTATAAAATATAAAATATACAATGTACGACTACCAGTGGCGTATCGTTGCATGAAGGCACCCGTGCCCCCCCCCCCCCTGAAAAATGCCCCCTGTTGGCACCCCTCCCTTCTTAAAGTAGAAACGCAAAATTGGACAAATTATCCCTACACATAAATCGAGTTTGTATGGTTCAATTTTATTTTAAGGTCCTATAGCATTATGCACTTGCCAGTATTTAAGTGGAAATCTGGGCTCTTATAGTAGGCTGTATATTGTTTGTTCACAGAGAGAATTGAATGGATTGCTCTTGCTGTGGCAGGATCTAGAGTTTTGTTGGAGAGCAGACCGGCTAGGTCAGTGATGTTTTGGGGATGGAAGTTGAATTTTTCCCTAACTGAGGAGTAAAGCAAACAGTCAATTAATACGTGACTTTCGTCCTCAATAGGCTTGAGCCCTTGGCTGAAAAAGCAGTAAGTGCACCAGTGTTCTTCTCTTGGTACAAGGGGGGTTTCGTATCTGCCCCTTTCGATGTAGAGGTTGTGGCAGCTGATACGAAACCTTGTCAAACTTTTTCGAACATCAGGTATTTTGATAATTCGTAGATATGCCTCTGGTTCAAAAACATGTTTAATTAGGTTATAGAATTCTAGTTTTGGGCGAGGAGGCCTTGGCAGATTTCCAGGTATTCACGAATTCTTCCCTCATATTATGACTGATTTGTGTGGAGAGCTTAGATTTTGAGGAAAATGAGTGGGGGAAGTTGTATTTGGTGAGAAGCTTTGAGATGTTGGTGTACCAAGGAAGACGCATCTGTCTTTTCTCAAAATTGTCTTTTCTCTCCTCTGCTTGTAAAATGCAGCAGAGTAGAATTAGAATTAGAATTAGAATCAAATTTACACAGCAATACAATAAGAATAAAAAATAATTTAAGAGGCTTCAATCTGCTGTGCAGGACATTCAAGTCAGTCAAAAACTGTTAGCAGAACACCCTTCTAGGGACATAAGGATATAGCATGTAAAATAAGTAAATTGTAAAACAAAATAAGTAATAAATTAATGAGTGGTAAAATAGGATATGATTTAACAGTGAACTGTGGGCATGAAGGTAACAATTAATGTTGAAAATTACATAGATGCCCACTTTGGAATTTCGTAAGTAATATTATTTACAGTTATACACAGAGAAGTATAGAACAACATTAGAATGGCAATGATAACAAATGGGAACGAATAAAGGAGATGTTTAAAGTTCTATACTTCTGAAAATAGGTCATATAATGCAGGGGGCCTTTCCCCATATCCAAAAAATTTTTAATTTCCTACATTCTCAATTTTTTCGTTTTCTGTGGCCCGCTCGCTTCGCTCGCATAAAAAGTCTCTGTATTCGCGCGGTTCAAAGATTTTTCATGGCGGATTCCAGATTCTCAATTTTACTTTTTTAGGGCCCGGAATGCTTTTTAATAGATAATCCTAGGTTACTTTTGGGGGCGAAGCCCCCAAAAATTTTGGAAATTTAAACTAGATTTGGCCTCCTGGAACGAATCTGACAATGGAGAACGATTTTAGCATACTATTTTCTGATTTTAAATTTTTATTGGGATAAATTGTCTGGATTCTAGAATCCCTAAACACTTGGCTTAACTAAAGCACGAAATAGGAGACAGCATGAAGTATCAACTATCAAGAGTTTATAATTTTGGCAAAAATGTTTTCTCATCTACTACCATCACTTTCTGCTTTCAAGCTATAAACTAATACAGGGTTAAGGGAATTTGGAGAAGGAAGCAAGTATGAGACCAAATATTCAAGAAACAAGTTACAAGGAATTTAAATTTTCCAAAAATATAATAATGACTATTAGTATTTACTATTTAAATAAGATAGGAAACGCAACAAAGAATGCTTATGCATTATGCATGTTTAGACGTATTACATCAACTCATAATACTATATAATTTTCTTTGAACTCCTGACATAAAGTTATTACAATTGCATTGATGACCGTTCACAACATTACATGATTGATAATGCTATTATCAAAACTGGAATGGTAGTCTATATTGGGATTTGCAGAAGTTTTCTATAGCCGCCCCCATCCCCCCATGGGTGGTTTTTAGAAAAGAGTGGTTTCTTGCCATTCTCGTAGCAACCTGTTGAACAAGCTTTTCACCCTCAGCAGAACATGGTGATGGGGCCATCAGCCTAATCTGGAGCTCTTTTTGCACTCTTCTGTCATCCCTATCTGTATTCTTATAACGTAAGTGTAATGCATCTATCAAAGATCCCTGACTCTCTGCAATGGCCTCACTTGTGGCGATAGTCAGGATCTTTAAGAATCCATGAAGTGTTCTCTGTGGAAAATCATTATAATGTTTGATCAATAGCACCCGGAGGATATGTTGAAAGTTGGAGGACTTGATTTGTGTCACAATCTTGTTTGTAACTTCGCACAGTTTTTCAACAGTATACACCACAGATTTGACTGGGCATTCGAACTTGGCACCCAAGTTTTCAGGATTGTACGTACAGCTATGTGTATGGGGGGAAACCTGTGAAAGCAGCGTGTTCATGAGCCCAGCATATGACTGCAAGTGGTCGTTTTTTGTCATATAATCTACTCGCTTGCAAAAACCCGTCAATATTGCTGAGACAAAAAGTTTGAATCTTTTAAAAATATTCTCCTGGACAAGCGGCTTATAGTGAGCCCACAGAGTGTTTCGGCCAACTGATGGTACACCCATGAACTCTCCTGATTCTAGGTCTTTTTTAGCATCTCTAAATAGTTTAAATGCTTTTGAATCTGGTACCGTCTCCTTTTCAAGACAGTTTACAAGATTTTGTAACTCATCTCTGAACATTGAGATCTCGTTAAACATGTCATTTATGATACTATCGTTCTCTTGGAATTTCGACGAAATGGCAGAAAGACGCCGACACGTGCAAGCCAAAAATGTCAGCGACTGAATAAATCCATTGTCCGTGATTTGTCTTAAATAAGACTCAGCATCTGAATCAGGTAATTGTTTCTGCAATGTACTGACAATTGCCTTGTAATTATTGAAAAACGCTACGTACACACGTTCACAATCGACAACAAACTTCTTACTCTTAAAAATTTTCGGTTTTATCAACTTTTCATTAAGTTCCTCCGCAGACTTTATGAGTGTCTCAAATGACTTACCGAATTTGATGTGACTCAAAACTTTCTGCAACGTATCGACGTGTTTTTTCAATGGTGGTACTTTCTTGAAACCGTCCAAAATTGCACGCTCTAATACATGAGCTGGGTCCCACACTTCTGCTGGATGACATTCAGTTTGATCTATTAAGTTAAGTTTCAAGATGTGTTCCAATACGTGTAGATCAATGTATTGTCCATCGACAGCTGTTCCGGAAAAGCACAATTTTATCAGCCTGCTATGAATACCAAAAGATTTCAGTAAACTGGTTATATCTCTAGCTAAGGCTTCTCCAGTATAAGCAGTGCAAGCGGGATGACCTAAGTACAGATTAACAAACAGAGGCTCGTCTTCATCAAGGCTTTTCGATAAATTGATTGTTCGAAGAGAAACCATTTGTCTGGATCTCGATCCAGATGTGACCTTATCAGCGATTACTGAAAAAGTGGGTGGATTTCCTGTTTGCTCTAACGGGGTAGTCATAAAATCAGTAATCTTAGAGTTCAAAATATCAGCTGTAATGTCCACAACTTCAGGAGGTACGCTGTAGGAGTGATTTTTGGACCCAATAAACGCTCCTGCTTTATGAACATTGGCAAGTCTTGGAGTTATGCTATCAAATGAATCACCCAATTTGATGGACACAAAACATGTTCTTACAACATTGACGGCAGCATTTAAGTTATTGCTTTCAGAAGCTCGTTTGCGGGCTCTAGTTTGGGTGAAGTGATCTGTTGCCAAACTATGCATTTTACTTTCAAGCAAATGTTTCTTAATGTTTTGTTTTAGGCTCTTAAACCATCTATTTGTGCGATTCACATCAGGTATGGGCTTGGTGATGTCCTCAAGAACGGGTACAATAAAATTCCCTGTCATACTATAGATATCCATCCTTGCTTTATAGTCAGAACAAGTTTTACAAATAATACTGGCTCGTTCGCAATCGTCCTCATTCTCAGAATAGCTTAAAGAAGGGGCCACCAGTACGTCAGACAAAGACTGAGCATCTGCCACGATCCTGAAAAAATAACACAATTTCACATAACGCACGATTCGATCAGCTATTTGAATTGTACTTACAAGAGCCGTTAGGTATTTATGAAAGCGGAGGAAAATGCACAAGATAAATGATGATATTGGCATTGCATAAAAGATCGAAAGCTATTGAGTGTACTATGACTATGTATCCGTAATCCGTCACAAAAAATGTTACAAAAGCGGCACTTTGTAATCGGGCCCCTAAAAATTCACTCTAGATATCGCTTTTTTAGTTGGTTGGGAGATCTAAGGCTGTTTCAAGTTTGAACCATTGAGCTTGTCAAATAACAGCTCCCAAAATCTATAGAAATCGGAAACGATTAAAACTTCGTAACCATAAAATTAGCAAACTTGGTAACCTTCGGGTAAATTTCGGGTGCACGTACAAGGCTCTAGTTGCTTTGAACTCTCAACAACTTGAAGTTTCAACGCAATTGAAGATGCGTACACATAAACTTCTCAAAGTTTGACAAAATCATGCAATGGTCGTGACGTCATCAGTTCAACTTTATTATATTTTGTACCTAGCCTATTACACCCATCAAACAATTATCTTTTAGACTTGGGGTCTGAGGATACTGTATCTTTCAATCTTTTGGAATTAAGGAGTCCCCAAAAAGTGGCAACTTGAACACAATTATTTTGATAAAGGAGCAACGATTTCGAATTCATGCACGTCTTATAATTTATCCCTAAATTGAGCATTTTAACATGGAAAAATG